ACAAAAGTGACAAATTTCTTCGTAATATTTTTCTGTCATTTAAAAACATAAAGATTTTCTTCTTAAGATGTTTTATGAAGCATGAAATGAACTCCTTTTTAAACCAAAGATTTGCTAATCATATTTTTCATAACTGCTAAACATTACATAACAGGGACTGTGCATTTTGTGTCTCCTATAGCTAATAAACTGTTACTAATTTTTATTACCTCAAAGACAACTGAACATAGAATGGGTTATTGCCTTTTTGCCTACACTTCTTACCTAGAACTAAGCCCTTTTGTTCTCCAATACCATAAACGGTTCATTTTAATTTCTGATCTGAAGGCGTGACCTAAAGTCTTTATACATAATTTAAAAACAAAGGACTTCTGAAAGTTTCTAAACATAAATGAGGTAATACTTCACTTCTTCTTTAGTTACTGCTATGGCAGGTCCTCACCTATACCTGATTTCAAACAGCTAAAACTCACTTTATAGACACACTCTATAAAAAGTTTATAAATAGAGTATTTATAAATCACATTTCAAAAAATGCTATAAACTAGGTACTGGTATGTTGAATTATATATTTTTTTTTAATTTTTAAACTTTTAGGTTCAGGGGTACATGTGAATGTTTGTTACATAGGTAAACTCATGAGAACAATGTTACAACACATCAGAAACTTGGGGAAACAGATAAGGCAGTTTAAGAGGGAAATTCATAGCATAAAATGCCTACATCAAAAAGTTAGAAAGATCTCAAATTAATGACTTAACATCAAAACTGAAAGATTTAGAGAAGAACAAATCAACACTAAAGCTAGCAGAAGACAAGAAATTACCAAAATCAGAGCTGAACTGAAAGAAATCAAGACATAAAAAAGCATTCAAAAGGTCACTGGATCCAGGAGTTGTTTTTTTGAAAAACTTAATGAGATAGAAAGGCCACTAGCTAGACTAACTGAATTATATTTTAAATGCACTAGAGGAGCTGACTTCCTAGAAATATTATGATTAACTCTTTAATATACATGCTTTTAAAAATTCATACATTTCTGATCACAGACAGAATAAATTAACTAATTAGTATACTGACAGTTGAGCCTTTCAATATTTATACTTAAAAAATGAAATTTCCTGTAATCCCAGCACTTTGGGAGGCCGAGGTGGGCAAATCATGAGGCCAGCAGTTTGAGACCAGCCTGGCCAACATGGTGAAACCCCATCTCTACTAAAAATACAAAAAAATTAGCTGGGCATAGTGGCAGGAGCCTGTAGTCCCAGCTTCTGGGGAGGCTGAGGCAGCAGAGTCACTTGAACTCAGGAGGTGGAGGTTGCAGTAAGCCCAGATCGCACCACTGAACTCCGGCCTGGCAACAGAGGGAGACTAAGTCTCAACAACAACAACAACAAAACAACAAAATAAAAATAAATTTATTTTATTAAAGGTACTCCAGTAAATTTCATATTAAATTTTATAGTACACCAAAGAGTACTTATAATCTTTAAATCTGTCTTTAAAAACAAAATGTGCTTTTGGAAAAAAAAATCTCGATAGAACCAGACAAAGTATGATTTACTACTGAATACATACACATTACTTAAATCATTTGTATTAATGAAAATACAAAAATAAAACACATATTTTTATAATCATTTATGTCACATTTCCAAAATGTTTTTCAAACTGTACTTAAAATACTATATATAATATATACGTATTATGTAGCATATATATTAATTGATTCACTAATCACTACATGAAAACCATGGTGCTAGGTCAATGAAGTAGCCATGGGATAGTAGAAAGAGCCCAAAGATGATACTTACAAGCTCACAGTCTACTACAGCGATGCAGAAAACAAAATAAAAGTCCAGGTACAGTGGCTCATGCCTGTAATAGCAGCACTTTGGGAGGCCAAAGTGGGAGGATTGTTTGAGCCCAAGAATTCAAGACAAGCCTGGACAACACAGCGAGACCCCATCTCTACAAAAAAAAAAAAAATCAAAAAATCAGCCAGGTGTAGTGGTGCACACCTGTGGTCCCAGCTACTTGGGAGACTAAGGCGGGAAGATCACTTGAGACCAGGAGGGAGGCTGTAGTGAGCTATGATTGTGCCACTGTACTCCAGTCTAAGCATCAGAATAAGATTCTGTCTCAAAAAAATAAAGTAAAATAAATAAAAATATATTACATAACAGCCACATATATAAATTGTTACAGGTATATAACCTGCAGGAAAGGCCAAATAATATTAGCTAAGTATCCAACTTTGGAAGAATAAGAAAAGGCTTACTAACAGAAAGTAAGTAAATAAGTTAGATCTTAAATTTTTTTAGAGATTGACACTCCTAAAAGAGAAAACTACGTGAAGGAAGTCATCTTTTTAAAATGCATTTTTATTTTGGAAAAACAGTCAGATATAACTGAAAATTCAGAGACATGGGAAAAAACTACAATGGAGATAAAACTCAAAATGCAAAATTGCATCTTATGCTCTTTAAAAAAAGAGGTTTGGATTAAAAGATTCATGTTTCTGAAAAATAATTTGGCAGTAAATAGAGAGTGTATGATGGCAAGAAGGTCCCCATGGCATGAAAAAAAATAGGTGGTTAGAGATACAATTTGATCAGAAAATTCCATATCTAGAATGCCTATCACTATGTTAATCCACTTATCTTTCTAAATCTAACTCTACAGTGCCTCCTACAAGAGTCATTCTTGAGGTCCTAACATAGTTAACAATCAAAACAAGGTTGACAGATTTGTCCAGTAAGAAAACAGTGAGTAATTTTTTTATTCTGACACTTTATTACCTACATAAACAGCAAAAGCAAGAACAGTCAAAGGTGACAGCTCCTGGTGTCCCTTGCATAGGCTGACACTGAAACAAAGGGACCAGATGACTATAACACAGATGACAGGTCACTGTGTTGCTGAGAAGCCTGTGCCATGTTGCAGTGAAGCAGTTTTATAACCTGCAGCTATGCCCCAAGGAGAGGAAGGTAGAAAGCCCGGCCCTCATCAGGACCCAGGAACCAATAAGAAACAGGTTCCTAACTGACTTCCTAATAGTCAGTAAAGTAAATGAGAATCAACCTTGTATAGTCAGCTGCTCATAAGCCTTTCGTGTTCTCATGTTCCAGAAGGATCACAGGAAGTACTACCAAGGTTTAGATGAGCTGTGGTTAAGCCTTGTGTATATGGCCCAAGTGCAGATGTGCAAAATTGTCAGGCCACTGTGGTGAAGCTGTTCTCATAAAACTATGTACAACCATATCACTGTTATATTTATTGTATCATGATAAAAATATTTTAACTTAAATGATGATGAAAACATGGCATAAGGCCATGCCTAGAGGATTAGAGCTAAAAATGTACATTTGAGAAAGCCTTAAAAAAAAAAATCAATGAAGTCAGACTCTACCTTAAAATGTTAGAAAAAGAGCTATAAACTAAACCAAAAGTAGAAGGAGATAATACATATTGGAAGAAATAAAACAGGAGAAAAATATTAAAGAGAAGGGAACAACAAAGCCAAAGGTTCATTCTATTAGGGAGATCAATCAAGAAAAATTGAGAAAGGAATAATTAATGCCTGGAATGAAAGGAAACTTCAATACAGATTCAGCAGACATTTAAAAAGTAAGATGATTTAATGAATAATTTTATAGTAATAAATTTGAAAATTTAGATAAAAGTTTTAAAATTCTACAAAAACATAACTTTACTAAGGCTGACATATACAAAAAGAAATTCTGAATGATTTTAGATCTACTTAAAAAGTCATTTCATAATTTACAATCTTCCCAAAAAGAAAACTGCAAGCCAAGATAGTTTCACCATCAAATTCTACCTAACATTACAGAACAAAATAACACTAATACAAATCAGCTATTCGGAAAAAAAAAAAAAAAGAGAGTTATATAAAGGAAAAGAGTTAAAATGGTTGAAAATGTCATATTCTTAGAATCTCCTCATTCCATTAATTCTGTCACTCTCCCATTTTAGTCATAAAAATTGAACGATTTTGATGTTAAAAACTTGACAAACTCTTTATGAGAAAAAAGATGCAAAATTTGACAAACTTTTTTTACACAAGAAAATAGGTAGAATAATTCTAAAAACTTGAGAATTCGAAAAAATTGAGAAACCAAATACATTAATATATGAAAAGAATAATATATCACAACCTAACTGAAATGTTTCCAGAAATGCAAGGTTGTTTAACATTTTTAAATCAATCAATAAAGGAATATAAAAATCATATGAGTATCTTAAAAGATACAGAAAAAAGCAATATACAATTATGAATTAAAAAACAAAGCTCCTAGCAAAACATGACAAAAAACTTCTTCAATTTGATTTTTCTTAACTGACAAAAACAACTATAAACAGCATACTGAAAGGTGAAAAATTAAAGGCTTTTGTTTTGATATTGGAAACAAGGATTGCTGGATACATGATCAATGCATAAAAATTAGCTGTATTTACGTATTTCAGTAACAGAAGATAATATTTCAAAAAAGATGCTCATTTTCACCAAAAGACAAGAACGTTCATAGCCGTAGCATCCAAAACTGCACAAATTGGAAGAATAAGAAAAACCAAACATCCTTTAACATTGTACAGAGTATGCCGTATACAAAAATGCTTGGGGCCAGAAGTGTTCTGAATTTTGGAGTTCTCTGGATTTTGAAATATCTGTATCATATACTTCTTGGTTGAGCATCCCTAATCCAAAAATCCAAAATCTGAAATGCTCTGGTGAACACTTCGTTTGAGCATCAAAAGTTTCTATCTTTTTTTTAAATGAGGGTATTTATAAAAGTGACCTTCCTTACTTATCTATTAATAAAAATCACTAAAACATTTCACTATTATGACATATAAATAATGCATAATATTCTACAATGAATACAACAATATATAATGCACTTGTGAACTGGCACAAAGTAAAAGCAATCACTAAGTAGTAAACAGCTACCAATCAGGGAACCATTATTTTTACTTACCTCAAGGAGACCTGACAAGTACTTCACACATATATCGAGAGGCTTTGTGAGAGGAGAATGTGAGCTCCATCCCAGAAATGCAGTGAGGTTAGCCATCCCTCGTAAGGTCCGCTCAAGGGATGGCAGGCCATAGAAATGAGGTGCATCCGTCACTTTCAAACACTGGAGCAGTTTCAGAGCCAGCTGTGTTTGAAAAACGTGAAGAAGTTCCAAGCATTTCCTATGGATGCAAAACAGGGAAAATCAGCCACCAAGAAGTATAATGGGTTTAATGGGCTATCTTACTGGCTATAAAAGGTTACTTAAACTCATAGTAATAGAAAAATATGAACTAGACAAAACGGCAGAAAGTATCTTCTATCAAATGGAGACTTTTCAAGGAAAGCATATAATACCAACTAGAGAATATCATATAAAACACAAGTAACAATTACATTGGGCCAGGGGCAGTGGCTCACATCTATAATCCCAGCACTTCAGGAGCCTGAGGTGGGAGGATTGCTTGTGGCCAGCTTCGGGAACACAACATGGTGAGACCTCATTTCTACCAAAAAACAATAATAATAATTAAAAAAAAAAATCAGCCAGGTGTGGTGGTGCATGCCTATAGTTCCAGCTACTTAGGAAGCTGAGGCAGGAGGATCTCTTAAGCCCAAGAGCTTGAGGTTACAGTGAGTTAAGATTGTGGCGCTGCACTGCGGCCTGGGTGACATAGTGAAACCCCATCTCTTCAAAAAGACAAAAAGAGGGAGTGAAAAAAAAAACACAGAAAAGGAAGAAAATATTTGCAAATCATGTAAGGGATTAATATCCAGAATATATTAAGACCCCCTACAACTTAACCACAAACAACTCAATTCAAAATCAGCAAAGATGTTGAATAGGCATTTCTCTGAAGAAGATACACAAATAGCCATAAGAACATGGAAAGATGCTCAAAATTATTTTTCATGGGGGAAATGCAAATAAAAACCACAAAGATACCAGTCTACACTCATTTGGATGGTTATAATGACAAGCGTTGTTGAGGATATGGAGAAACTGAAACACTCATACATTGCTGGTGGGAATGTAAAACCGTTTAGTTGCTATGGAAAACAGCTTGGCATTTCCTAAAAAAGTTAAGCATAGAGTTACCATTACAGCTACCATAGGAACCAGCAATTCCACTCCTAGTCATATACTCAAGAGAACTGAAACACATATTCACAGAAAAATTTGTATGAGTGTTTACAGCAGCACTACTGACAACAGCCAAAAGGTAGAAACAGCTCAAATGTCCACCAATGGATGAATGGATAAACAAAACATAGCATATCTATACCTAGAATATTGCTTACTCATAGAAAGAAGTAATGCTATTTGCTACAACATGCAACGACCTTGAAAACATGATGCTAAGTGAACTAGCTAGGCACAAAAGGCCACGTTATTGTTTGATTCCATTTATGTGATATATCCAGAATAGGCAAATCCACAGGAATTGAAAGAAGACTAGTGGTTGCCAGAGCCTAGAGGAATGCATGAATAGGGAGGGGCTTTTTCATAGATACAAGGCTTCTTTTGGGGCTGATGATAATGTTCTGGAATTAGGTAGTAGTGACAGTTGCACAACATTTTGGATATACTAAAAACTATTCAAAAGCACACCTTAAAATGGTTAAAATAGTGACTTTTATCTTAAATTTTTTAATTTTTAAAAACAGAATTCATAACTTCAGATATGTATTTGAGAGTCATCAGTGTAAAGACATTATAAAGTCATAGGCATAGGTATGGCTGCTCAAGTAGATTTGTAGGTAATTGAGAGAGGACCAGGAATTAAACTCTAGAGAACAAAACAGTGTGTGTGTGTACACATATGAGTGCATGCGTGCATGTGTGTAGTGAAGGAGATCAAGCATGTACAATCAGGCTGTAACAGATTCAACTGAAGCAAAAACACAATACTGTAACTGATTGTTACTTAAGTATTTGAAAGAAGTATTTCTTAATTTGAAAGCAGTACAAACTTTGAAATTCAAAGAAAAATCAGGTTCTATATTAATGCACAATGCACCTAAACCTTCAATGTTACAAATGGTACCTGTCATTAACGTCCATGAAATTGAGCAGCAAGGTGTCAAAAAGAGCAATCAGTTCTTTCTGAAGTTGTTGCCTGACAGCAGTCCGGATATCATCTGTCTCTTCTCGTGCCTGTGACTCTGTCAGAACCAAGAGGTCCAACAGTGGGTTTGCACTCTAAAAAATGAAATTTGTAAAAAAAATATATTTATTAATGGAACTAGATTAACTATGAGTTATATTACCTAACTAGTAGGTGTGGGCCTTTACTGTATTAGTAGAAATGTTCTAAATTCAAAAGATGTTTAATACATTCTCAACAAAAGAAAAGCATCTTTATGATAGAAAACAGAAAAAGGACAATGAGAAAAACAAAACCACACATAATCATGCCACACAGAAATTGCCACTATTACATATTGGTATACAACACCGCTTTTTGTTTCTGAGAATATAAACAGAATTAAAACCATACATTTTCACAAACCTGCATCAAGTGAAAAAATTCACTGCTGAAACCATTTTTCCCTACTTCCTGTTATTAACAACATTTCTGCCAAAACATTAGTTTAATATCTGATTGTTTTTCAACAATAAGGATTTACCACATTAACTCCTGGATAATCAACGATGCGTAATTTCACTAAGCTGCAACAACACACAGTGTACTCAAGTTGGATTTTACCTTATATAAGAATTCCGCAATGAAATTACTAAATTAAAATATTATACTTTTAATCTTTTTTGATATATATTGCCAAATTGTCCCTGTAAAAAAATGTACCAGTACATACAATTACACAGAATGGGAAAAGAACTAGAGCACCCAAGCCAATGCTATGTGATCATTACTACTATAGTCTTTGACAACTTCATAGGCTAGTAAACAAATACTAGGGCTTTCTAAAATTTCTCTTTTCCCAACCAAAAAAAATATATATATAGCTAAAGAAATATAAAAGGATTATTTCTAATAATATTGAGAAGAGAAACTGTTACACTAATCAGAAGCATTAATAGATATATGGGACATTTATTAATCATCTATGATGTTTCAGGCACTGTGCTAAAAAGGTAATAAGATTTCATTCAACTTTTTGACTAAACTTGAAGATTTGCATTTTCATTCCTGCTTTACACATAGGAACATAGGTTTATAATGAGGTTAAATAACTGTCTAAGTCATAGACAAAGGCAGAGCAAGAAGTATCTTACTCCAAAGCTAGTTAATATTCCATCCTGAGCACAGTATCACATCACTAGTGCATATAACAACATGCAAAAAGAGATAAAATCAAAATGTAATTACTGTTCTTATAAAATCCTTCACCTAAAGAGAACTCAATTCAAAATTAATTGCAGTCTCTTTAGGGAAAAGAAATGAAAATATGTAAAGAAACCTCTAAATTGCTTATAACATATAGAGATACATACAATTATAAATAATATAACTGAGAGCTTTTAGAAACTATTTAGTAGAGACATTTTGCTCTTATTTTACAGTGTTTTAACATCTAAACAGTATTTTTCCTAACTTTTTCTTTTATCTTAAGCAATGTATGTCTTTAGATAAATTAAAATTGCATAAGACATAACTGCAACTTTTATGTTTCATGCAGGAACAAAAGAATCAAAATTCATACTTTAGTAAAGTCATAAAAATAAATATATTTTCTATAGTGTTCTGAGTCCTAAATATCCGAAAGCTGACTCACACTCACACGCCTTCTGATTCTCAAAACTACTGACGAAATGAACAAACTGTTTATGCCAAGATGTAGGCTCCATCTTGATAAAACATAATTTCATTATCAGAAATTATTAATTCTGATATGCTGATAAAAATTAAGTAGAAGCTACTATTAATACATCAACATACTGATACAGTATGTGTATACATAAAATTAAGATTCTCCCACAGAATCTCATCCTATTAATAACTTGTTTCTGCCTGAAGATTACTGAGATTTTTTTTTCTCTTTTTATCTTTTTTCTCTTTGACATACATGGTAACATTGAAATTCATTGAACCTTAGCAACACCAGTTCTAAAATAGAAGGTGAATTACCATTTCTCAAGTACAACAGAGTAGAATAAGATGTCTCCACTGATGCTTACAGATGTCAAATGCTTAGCCATATCCGAAGTTTTTGTCTTTAGACATTAGTATTCAATCCTAATTTTAAACCAACTACTTGAGCCATTATTTTGTCACTGTTGACCTCTAAAAGGCAACAATTTCTATAATGATGGCTCGTTTTCTTTATGCACACACTGTTACCACTCATCATATCCAATTTTACAGCCATCGGCAAGCTATGCCGAAAGGGTGTGCATGGCCCTCAACAGTCTGAGTGCACATGAGCCTGTTATGGGAAAGTCAGCCAAGGAAAATATGTATGTTATACAGTTCTGTAGAGCTTCACAGAAGAAGAAAAAAACTAACAGCTTCACGTTTATGAATTAAGAATTTCCATCAAAAATGCATTCTGAAAAGAAAGATATTCAAAATCAGCATTTCTAGATCATTATATACTAACAAAATATAATATTTAAAAAGATTATAAAAAATTTTAACTATAAAAATATTTAAAAATCATAAGTTGCCTAAGAATTATAATATGTTTATAATAAATGAATGTCTTGATAAAACACACAGAAAAACTTTTCACAAGAGAAAATTCCCGAAATCTTACCTCAGAAAGTTAGGTGATTTTTCTTTTCACTTCCTCTTAGCATTCTTCTGACTAATCAGGCATTAATATCTGCCTAATTTTGTTTTTGCAACCACAGCCACTGTATATCTTTTCATGTATGTCCATACACTCAAAACAATTTACTTGGAAATGTTATTTTACTAAACTTCTTAAATCATTTCTTACTTATTTTCCTCACTGAAAAGGATAAACTTTAAAAGGTACTTGATTTTCTATTTTCATGTTCCCTTTATCTTAAACGTTGGTAGTTCTATAACACATATTAATTTATCTTGTAGCATAATATTTAGGGAGTAAACCCTCCTGATAGTGAATACTTAAGTTCACTTTTGTGCAATCTTAAAAGAATTATTATTTATAACACTTGTGGTGATAATATATGAGATAAAGTAGAAGCTTTCCAAAGAAAGGTTTAATACGATACAAAGTCAAGTAAGTAAATGTAATTGTACCAAAAATCCTTTTCCAAAACTGCATTAAAATTATTGTATAATCATTTAGAGTCTTGTAGGAATTTCATTTTAATTTCATAACTATGAATACATTATAAAATATATATCAACATGTATGACATACTACAAAATTAACAGTAATTTAAATGTATGGTGTTACAAATCTTAACAAATGTAACAAGATTGAAGTCATATTTACTATCATTTCTGATCATAATAATAAAAAACTAGAAGTCAACAAAAGATGGAATTCTGGAATAGTAACATATACATAGAAGCTAAGCGGCACATTCCTGAACAAACAATGGATCAAAGAAAAAGCTAAAAGGTAAATTTTAAAATGTCTTGAACAAACAAAAATAAACACAAAACCAACCAAAATTTATGGAATGCAGCAGAGCAGGTCTAAGAAGGACACACATAACAATAAACATTTACAACAAAAAAGAAAGATATCAAGTAAACAACCTCAAAGAACTAGAAAAAGAATAAATAAAGCCAAAACTTAGTAAAAAGTAAGAAAATAATGAAGATCAGGGCAGATACAAATGAAATAGAAACTGGAAAAACAATAGAAAAGATCAACAGAAGCAAGAATTGAAATTGTGGAGATAAAAAAAATTGACAAACCTTTTGCTAGTCTAATTAAAAAAAAAAGACAAAATTAGAAACAAAAGAGGAGACATTACAACTGATACCACAGAAATACAAGATATCATAACACAATTATGAACAATTTCACGCCAACAAATTGGACAACCAAATGGAAAAAAATCCTAGACACACAGAGCTACCAAGACTAAATCATGAAGAAACAGAAAATCGGAATAGACTGATGACAATGAGATTAAATCAGTAATAAGTCTTTCAGAAAAAAAAAGCCCAAGACCTGATTGATGGCTTCACTGCTGAATTCTACCAAACGTTTAAAGAAGAATTAATACTAATCTATATACTGTTCTAAAAACAAATGAAGAGGAATACTTCCAAACTCATTTTATGATGGCAGGATTCCACTGATACCAAAGCCAGACAAGGGCACTGCAAGAAAAGAAAATTACAGGCTAATATCCCTGATAAACATAGATATAAAAATCCTCTAGTATATACCAGCAAACTGAAACTAAGAGCACAATATAAAGATCATTCACCATATCTCAAAATAATAAAAGCTATTTACGATATATCCACAGCCAATATCACATCAAATGGGCAAAAACTGGAAGCATTCCCTTTGAAAACTGGTACAAGACAAGGATGCCCTCTCTCACCACTCCTATTCAACGTAGTATTGGAAGTTCTGGCTAGGGTCATCAGGCAAGAAAAAGAAATAAAGCATATTCGAATAGGAAGAGAGGACATCGAAGTGTCCCTGTTTGCAGATGACATGACTGTATATTTTAAAAACCCCACTGTCTCAGCCCCAAATCTCCCTAAGCTGACAGGCAACTTCAGCAAAGTCTCAGGACAAAAAAATCAATGTGCAAAAATCACAAGCATTCCTATACACCAATAACAGACAAACAGAGAGCCAAATCATGAGTGAACTCCCATTCACAATTGCTACAAAGAGAATAAAATACCTAGGAATACAAATAACAAGGGATGTGAAGGATCTCTTCAAGGAGAACTAGAAACCACCGCTCAAGGAAATAAGAGAAGACACAAACAGATGGAAAAACATTCCATGCTCATGGTTAGGAAGAATCAATATCATGAAAATGGCCATACTGCCCAAAGTAATTTATAGATTCAATGCTATCCCTATCAAGCTACCAATGACTTTCTTCACAGAATTGGAAAAAAACTCCTTAAACTTCATATGGAACCAAAAAAGAGCCTGCAAAGCTAAAAAAAAAGAAGAAGAAAAAAAAAAAAAAAAAAAAAAAAAAAAAGCTGGAGGCATCACGTTACCTGACTTCAAGCTATACTGCAAAGCTACAGTAATCAAAACAGCATAGTACTGGAACCAAAACAGAGATACAGACCAATGGAACAGAACAGTGGCTTCAGATGTAACACGACACATCTACAACCATCTAATCTTTGACAAGTCTGACAAAAACAAGCAGTGGGGAAAGGATTCACTATTTAACAAATGGTGTTGGGAAAACCAGCTGAACATATGTAAAAAGCTAAAACTGGACCCCTTCCTTATACCTTACACAAAAATTAACTCCAGATGGATTAAAAATTTAAACATAAAACCTAACACCATAAAAACTCTAGAAGAAAACCTAGGCAATACCATTCAGGACATAGTCATAGGCAAGGACTTCATGACTAAAACGCCAAAAGCAATCGCAACAAAAGCCAAAATAGACAAATGGGATCTAATTAAATTTAAGAGCTTCTGCATAGCAAAAGAAACTATCATTAGAGGGAACTGGCAACCAACCGAATAGGAAAAAATTTTTGCAATCTACCTAAGGGCTAATAACCAGAATCAATAAAGAACTTAAACAAATTTGCAAGAAAAAAAACAAACAACCCCATCAAAAAGTGGGCAAAGGATATGAACAGACGCTTTCAAAAGAAGACATTTATGCCGCCAACAAACATATGAAAAAAAGCCCAGCATCACCGGTCATTAAAGAAATGCAAATCAAAACCACATTGAGATACCACCTCACACCAGTTAGAATGGCGATCATTAAAAAATCTGGAGACAATAGATGCTGGAGAGGATGTGGAGAAATAGGAATGCTTTTACAGGTTGGTGGGAGTATAAATTACTTCAACCATTGTAGAAGACAGTGTAGGGATTTCTCAAGGACCTAGAACTGGAAATACCATTTGACCCAGCAATCCCATTACTGGGTATATACCCAAAGGATTATAAATCATTCTATTATAAAGAGACATGCACACATGTTTATTGCAGCACTGTTCACAATAGCAAAGACTTGGAACCAACCCAAGTGCCCATCAATGACAGACTGGACAAAGAAAATGTGGCACATCAGTTAGAATGGCGATCATTTAAAAATCTGGAGACAACAGATGCCAGAGAGGATGTGGAGAAACAGGAACACTTTTACACTGTTGGTGGGAGTGTAAATTAGTTCAACCATTGTGGAAGACAGTGTGGCGATTCCTCAAGGACCTGGAAATAGAAATTCCATTTGACACGGCAATCCCATTACTGGGTATATATCCAAAGGATTATAAATCGTTCTATTATAAGGACACGTGCATACGAATGTTCATTGCAGCACTGTTTACAATAGCAAAGACCTGGAACCAACCCAAATGCCCATCGATGATAGACTGGACAGGGAAAATGTGGCACATATACACCATGGAATATTATGCAGCCATCAAAAACGATGAGTTTGTGTCCTTTGTAGGGACATGGATGAACCTGGAAACCATCATTCTCAGCAAACTGACAGAGGAGCAGAAAATCAAACACCGCATGTTCTCACTCATAGGCGGGTATTGAACAATGAGAACGCATGGACACAGGGAGGGGAGCACTACACACTGGGGTCAGTTGGGGGGAAATAGGGGAGGGACGGTGCGTGGTGGGGAGTTGGGGAGAGATAGCAAGGGGAGAGACGCCAGATGTAGGTGATGGGGAGGAAGGCAGCAAATCACACTGCCACGTGTGTACCTATGCAACAATCTTGCATGTTCTTCACATGTAACCCAAAACCTAAAATGCAATAAAATAAATAAATGGGAAAAAAAAAATGTGGCACATATACACCATGGAACGCTACGCAGCCATAAAAAAGGATGATTTCACATTCTTTTCAGGGGTATGGATGCAGCTGGAAACCATCATTCTCAGCAAACTGACACAAGAACAGAAACACCACATGTTCTCACTCATAAATGGTGTTGAACAATGAGAACACATGGACACAGGGAGTGGAACATCACACATAAGAGCCTGTCAGGGGTAGGAGGGTTACGGGAGGGCTAGCAGGGGGTGGGTGGGGGGATTGGGGAGGGCTAACATTAGGAGAAATATCTAATGTAGATGATAGGGGGATGGATGTAGCAAACCACCATGGCAAGTGTATACTTATGCAACAATCCCAGAACTTAAAGTACAGTAATAAAAAAAAGGAGATGCAGATAACTAGTAAATTAATTTGATATATTTTGATTTATGGATTAAAATCAGTCTTTTTTATCTCCATTCTCTTCAGTTAAAAAAAAATAGATTCAAACATTAAAAAAAGAAAAAGAAAAAAAGCAAGTTAAGTTGACCCTCTATGCTGATGATATAATCTTGAATCTAGAAAAGCCCAAAGACTCTACCAAAAAACTTTTATCTGACAAATTAATTCAATAAAGTTGCAGGATACAAAATCAATATATAAAAATCAGTAGCATTTCTATACACTACCCCTCCCCAAAAAATCCCATTTAAAATAGCTACCAAAGTATTTTAAGATTTTAGGAAATTTAGGAATAAACTTAATCAAAAGGTGAAAGATCTCTACACTAAAATGTCAAAGTTGCAGATACCAGAATGAAATCATGCTCCAAGGAGAGGGAAAGGGAGGAGAGAGGAAAAAGGAAAAGAAAAAGTGAAGGGGAAAGGGAAGGGAGAAGGGAAGGGAGGAAAAGAAAGATGACAGGAAAGAAGAAATGAAAGGAGACCAACAACCCAACTGCAGAGGAAAACTAGCAAGGACATCAAGAGACAATTCACAAAAAGACCAAACACGAAAAACTCTCCATCTAATTCAAAATAAGTTATCTATTTACAAAACCACAAAAAACTCAATACACACACACCTCGACAATTTGACTCAGCAATTACAATTCTAGAACTTCAGTCGATAAATGTACTTGCATATGTAAGTAAACTTTGAACATAATACATGGTTTCCATTCTTGTTCTATCTTAAGTTATAAAAGTAAGGTTATGTGTGTTTCTTACAATTAACTTCACAGCTTATTCCTGAGTTAATAAGTATTTATCGAGAGCTCACCATGTGCAAGGCACTATAGTAAACGCTGGGTATGTAATAATGAACAAAACAGTCCCAGAACAAAACAACTTTCACCAGTCTTCAATAAAGGAAAAGATAATTACTATGGCTTGAACGTTCCCTCCAAAATTCATGTTGAAATTTAATCACCAAAGTGACAGTATTGACAGGTGGGGCCTTTAGAGGTGACTGGATCATGAAGGTCCTACCCTCATGAATGCACTAATCCATTTTGGATTAGTGGATTAAGAGTTATCATGGAAGGGGAACTAGTGGCTTTGTAAGAAGAGAAAAATCTGAGATAGCACATTAGCATGCTCGGCCCTCCCACCATATGATACCCTGCACCACCTTGGGACTCTTGAGAAAGTCCCCACTAGCAAGAAGACTCATTCCAGATGTGTCCCCTCAAACTTGGACTTCCCAGACTCCGTAACAGTAAGAACTAAATTTTGTTTTTTATAAATTACCCAGTTTCTGATATTATGTTAGAAGCAATAGAAAACAGACTAAGATAATAATAAACATCAAAATAAGTTTTGTATAAACACATTCATATCAATTAGCATTTCTACAACACAGCAATTCATATTTTTACAGAAAAATTATTTCTAAGTTTTGCAAATGTATTACTATGTAATGAAACATACTTGTCTTATAAGATCCACTATCTTCTATATCAGTTTAGGCCCTATTTTCTAGCGTTTTTTTCTTATTTATGCAAAGGTTTATCTTAGCTAAGTTTAGTAAATTCATATGATATTTGCAAATAAATACATAAACAGAGAGACCAACAACAGGGAGCTGGCATCTTGGGTTCTTCGCAAGTTTCTCAGAATAACAAATCTGAATAGCTAAAATTTTTAGAGTAGCAATTTAGACAAATTTTAGAATTTTTAGAAGATCTAAAAATCTGAGAGTAGTGGGGGCTAGAAGGGTAAATAATCCAGTAACCCTGAAAGCCTGAGAGTTTTACTCATTCTTTATAACTTCACCATCACTATACCCCTCCTACCTCCATCTGGCTTCGTTAGCTAACTCCCAACATGCCTATCTGGACATCCACCCTGTCTCCTGCCACCTGAACTGAAATCCCTACTTAAAAATACAATTGCAGGCCGGGTGCGGTGGCTCATGCCTATAATCCCAGCACTTTGGGAGGCCAAGGCGGGTAGATCATGAGGTCAAGAGATCGAGACCATCCTGGTCAACATGGTGAAACTTCATCTCTACTAAAAATACAAAAATTAGCTGGGCATGGTGGCACATGCCTGTAGTCCCAGCTACTCAGGAGGCTGATGCAGAAGAATTGCTTGAACCCACGAGGCGGAGGTTGCGGTGAGCCAAGATCACGCCATCGCACTCTAGCCTGGGTAACAAGAGCGAAACTCCGTATCAAAAAAAAAAAAAAAATACAATTGCAGTAATCCCAGCACTTTGGGAGGCTGAGGAGGGCAGACCACAAGGTCAGGAGTTCAAGACCAGCCTGATCAACATGGTGAAACCCTGTCTCTACTAAAAATACAAAAATTAGCCAGGCATAGTGGCATATACCTGTAATCCCAGCTAATCAGGAGACTGAGGCAGAAGAATTGCTTGAACTCAGGTGGCAGAGGTTGCAGTGAACCCAGATTGTGCCATTGCACTCCAGCCTGGGCGACAGAGCAAGACTCCATCACAAAAAAAAAAAAAAAAAAAAAAACAAAAAAAATAGAGTTGAAGCAGAAAGTTTATATGCAGAACAGGTTTTATTAAATACCAAGACTGTAGGTCCCATTCTTTGTATCGAATTTTAACAAACACATTCACAATCATATCAGGAAAGCCATGGTGTTATGAGCCATTCATTACATGAGGACTACTTTACCAAGCACAGGTAATATAAAAATTATCCTTTTCCATAATATAATGTTAATGATTTCTACAAATAAGCTTCTTCTCAAATTTAAAATCCAAATTCTTTAACAACACTTACATGTTTAAGAAGTAATTCTAGAATCCAGTTTAGAAGTTCCAATGAAGAATTTTTTCTTTGTTCTTTTATTAATTTATTTAAAAAATGTATGATATCTATTAGCAGTTTCTCATCTTCAGTGGAAGCAGGAAGCACTTGTAAAAACCTATAATGAAAAGACAATAATCATGGTTTCCAGTTCTTTAAAATACATATTACCACTGTTTATCATGGATATGTGGTTTTAACAAGTGTCTTGTGAGGATGCTATTTTATGAGATACTGTTTTAAATGCTTTGAAAAATGCAAAGTTGAAACAAACTGGGTATCTGCCTTCAAAAACCTGAGCTTACAGTGGGAAAAAACATGCGGACAAATAACTAACTAAAATAACTAGAAGTGACAAGTATCAGAAGAGGAAAAATAACAAATTCAGAAAAAGTACCAAAAAATACCAAGGAGATATATACTTCCTCTAACTGTCCAATGAAACTTGCTTTTTCATAATGGGAATGCCATATTCCACTGATAAGAAGAATTAGTACTTCAAAACAGTGCTACAATAGAATAAGGTAATAAAGTGAGAGAAAAAAGGTCCTGCAAGGATGCTACCAGAGTTTTAACAGGCAAGGGAAACACCGAAGGTAGACCTAGCATGAAATTTCTGTGTAAGTTTGGAGTTAAAGGGTATCAGCCAATTTTCTGAGATTTCTTTTAAAAAAAAAAGCTGGTATAAGTGAGCTGAAAGATTAATAGACAAACTTTTATTTAAAAGGGAACAGTCTGGAAAATCGTTTTTTAAAAAGGCAATCAGGAAGAGATACAATGAGATTCAATTTTATCTCTAATTTTTTTTTTTTATAAATCTAAAGCAATTGCATCAAAATGTTTAATAAGAGTGACAATAATACTAATCATAATATGCAGCATTTATTGAGCACCAACCTTGTGCAAGCCTATGGTCTAATAGCAGGATTTTTATCAAACTTAACAACAACAGTATGAAGTGGGTACCTCTATTTCAAAGACAAGAAGACTCAAGCAAAAATATGGTTAAGTCGTTTCTTCAGAGTCACACAGCTAGCAAGTTTTAAAACATGAATCCGAGACTAAGCAGTCCAACACCAGGGATATATAAATGCTGTATTTCTTAGTAATGTCGTGTTTGTCTCATTATTATTTTTTATTTAAAATTCCCACATCCCCAAAATGACATTCAGCTGAGTAGGACAGCAAGTGTAAGATTATAAAAACTGGGATTAGAAAAATACTCTGAAAGAATGGAATCAACAGATGAATTTAACAACCACAGATCTTTAGAAGAGCTATGATTTAACAATCATGAGGATTATAAGAAGTCTTCCATGATATCCATTGTTAACATTAAAATATCACCTCTGTAACCCCATTTTATATCCACCCTCATATCCTTTAAATCCCAGTGTACTATCCTCTTTTTAATGACTCCTGAAGACACAAGACACTCTTTCCTAACTCGGGGTCTTATCCCTTTGGCATATTTTTTTAATTTAATTTTTATAATATTTGTTGAATATGGCATTTTACTCTAGAGAAGAAATAATACAGTCCATAAGTGGTTATTCATTTATGGACTTTTTTTTTTTTTTTTTGAGACCGAGTTTCACTCTTGTTGCCCATGCTGGAGTGCAATGGCACAATCTCGGCTGACTATAACCTCCACCTCCCGGGCTCAAGTGCTTCTCCTGCCTCAACCTCCTGAGCAGCTGGGATTACAGGTACGAACCACTACGCCCAGCTATTTTTTACATTTTTCGTAGAGACAGGGTTTCACCATGTTGACCGGGCTGGTCTCAAACTCCTGACCTCAGGTGATTCCTACGTTGGCCTCCCAAAGTGCTGGGACTACAGGCATGCACGACCATGCCCGGCCCATTTATGGATTCAAAGTATCAAATTTCTGCCACATAACATGCACCAAACTATATCCCACTTATTTTAAAGAAATAATAATTGTATATATCCTTAGGGTACAATGCGGTGTTCTGACACATTTATACATTGTGGAATGACAGAATCAGGCTAATTAACATACCCACCACCGCAAATATTTTTTTTTTTTGTGGTGAGAACCTTTAACATCCATTCTTTTAGCTATTTTGAAATATACATTATTATTATTAACTAGAGTCATTATGCTGTAATAGATCACCAGAACTTATTCCTCTTGTCTAACTGCAATTTTGGACCCTTTCAGCAACATTTCTCTACCCTTTCTTCATTTCTCCTCCCCTTACTCTACCCACATCCCCTGCCACTTGCCTCTGGTAACAATTCTACTCTCTACTTCTATGAATTGGACTTTTTTAGATTGCATATATAAGAGACATCATGTGGTATTTGTTTCTCTGTGAACCTGGCATCTTTTCTGCTTCCAATCCCATAGACTTTTAACATCCTTCTACCTGTTATGCCTTGGCTTAAGCTTCATTCTCTGAGCCACTTTCTGTCTACTGAAGAGAGATAAGTTACTCCTCTAACAGAGTTTCATAATAGTCTGCTTAGAAGCATTCCTACTTTTGATTATACTTTTAGCTGTCTTAAATTGCACGTTCCATGAAAGCAGGACCCTATCAATTTTGCTGACTGCTATATTTCCTATAAGAGTGACACCTTGTAAGTGATCAATAAATGTTCGCTGAATGATGGAAAAGCAGGAGGAAAAGATAGACAGTAGCCCCTTTCTTCCTGTTCACCCCATGCCACAGTACCACACCCTATGTAAGTCATCATGTCCAGATCTCAGGGAGAGTCCTAAGAAACACAATACCCTTGTAAAATGGCATAAACAAATGAGAAGTCTGGACACTGTGGCTTTTAAAGTATATCTAAAAAACCAAACCATTTAAAGCAGGGTGGGGGGAACACAGAAGAAATTATGGTTATGTTTAAATGAAGAGTTGTCACATGTGAAGACAGTATTTATTCTAGGAGTTTAAAGGACAGAATAATAGGTAGAAATGACCAGGTACAGTTCAAAAGAGCAAAAAACTCACTAATAATCACAGCACAGAAACAGAATGAGTATCCTTCAAAGGAGGTATTCATGCTGAGGCCACATGGCCACTTGACAGGGATACACAGAAGGGAATTCACCAGGTACACAGCTGGACTAAATGAGCTCTAAGGTCTCTCCAACTCATCCATTCTACATTTATTAGGAGTCAACTGTATACTATGACTTATGCCATAGGTTAGGGATATAAAAAGGAATGTAATAAACCCAAGGCATATGAGGAGACAAATATTTAAACCACTGTAGAAGTAATGCAGGAAAACCACATGACAATTATGGTAACTACAATTCCACATACGTTACAGAGGAAGAAGACCTTGGAGCTGAAGGAGGAGTAGATATTCACAAAGCAGCCAGGGAGTTAACTATGTAAAAGCGAGGGGGTATAAAATGGAAGTTTATGCCCTAAAATATCCAGCAGTTTCCTAAAACCCCAATATCTGTACTTCATAGAAACACAATGTATGTTAGAGACATGGAAAATGAAACTGAAAAGGTAGGCAAGTGGCGGATCAAAAAGAACTTTCTACAGCATGCAAAGGGATTTGACTTCTATTAATATCTAGCACACCATGGAGAAGAATCCACAGGTGACATGTATTTTAGAAGGATCATTCAGAAAGCAACATAAATGAGTGGCATAAGGTTAAAAGCAGAAAAACCAATTCGCTAGTCATTCTATAGTTCAGTAAAAAATGGTGAAAAACAGTAGCAATAGGACTTTTACTAGGAAAGGTGTAGAGAGACATTAAACAGGCAAAACAACAAAAGCTAGTTGAAAGAAGATTCTAGATACCTCTAACAACTTGTAATCCTACTAAATCATGACTATCACCTATTTTCTTAAAATAAGTTTCCAAAATGATACTAGACTATAACAGTATGTTTGTGTCTTAGCAGATATATATAAAAACATTCACATAAATTAATGTTGGACTGTTAAGATAATCAGCAAATGCAGCCATCTGCTATGATCTAAGCATGTTAAACTGACAAGCTAGAGCCTTCTCAATAACTGCTATAAAGAACTTCCACATGGCAATCAACTTTGTGAAATTCAGAGCAAAAAGAAAAATGATACAATTTACCTAAGAACAAAACAAAAGCAAAACAAAACAAAACAGCCTGTGGCAGGTGTACCAAACCTATTAATTCACTGATGTCTCAACTCATTTATAATATGGAGAGAAATAAACATTCAATTTGTTTCATCCATGCCTTATCCTAATTATTCACTTTTGTGAGGTAAAGTTTTCTAAGGGTAATAAATTGTTGTAAGTTTATTAATAATCCCCTCAACAATGCAATGGCTAAATTAAAATTTATCTTTGGCTATTACAGAGGATAAAAATCCTGGAGTTTTTCTATATAGCAACAGTAAGGGCATAGACTCTTATCTTCAAAGAATTGGAGGTGAACACAATACAATACAATCCAGGTCTTTGAAACTAGCAGCCTTGACCTCATACTGACCTGTTCAGCGTGTTGTGCCAAGCCAGGGACTTCAAGGTAGCCCCACACGAACCAGGGCCACCCTTTAATGACAATCTGTCATTCAGAAGATAAAAACTCATCCTAGTAACAGCAGCCCTAACTTCCCTGTGGGTTGCAGCCTGAACAATGGACTGGAGGCAGTCCTGCAGCCCACTAGCCATGTGTGTTATCTTCAGAGTGAGGATGTCTTCTGCAGATAACTTCAATGTATCCAAAAATCTAGACAAAAAGAAAAAAAGAAAGAGGAACATAAAACTATTTAAATAAAAGCTCACATTTATTTCTATTATAAACTCTCCCAAAAGTTGTTTTATCTTCATTTTCTTTTAATAAAAGATTGACTTATAGCCAAAAGAAAACTGATACGTCTCTGTCAATATTAGAATTTTACATTGGCATCCCAAATGTTTATACTGACTTTTCCTCCTTAAAAAAAATTTTTATTCACATAAGACTGACAGATTAGAATATTAAGATACTCAAAAGTAATCGCCATCACAGTAATAACACTCATGCATATACTTACTGAGATTTTATTCTAATCCAGAACCCTTTTCCCAGTGATTCACATCTATGAACAAATCAGACTTTAAATAATCTCTAAAAAAGCACACAGTAAAATGTTTTTTCATTTAAAATTTTCTTTTATAATAGATTGTGAAAAGTAATAAATACATGCAATCTTTAAAAGTAAAAATCACAACTGTTAAAAGGCAGAATCAGATGACATCAAGGGAAAAGTTACTGGACCTAAGGAAAAAGTAAAACCTAACTAATTAATTACAATTAATTAATTGCAAATACTTTTTCAACTAATATGAGAGCTTACTCTTGTGTTTTAGTTTCAGAGTTCATTTGCTTCAACAGATTATCACTCCCATGATACCATGACAGGTTCCAAGCTATTCTCAGCATATCTGACACCGGCTTCAAGGCCAAACAATCAGCAGATAAAGGCAAAACTATGGAGTAAGGACTCACAGCATGGTGTCCGATTACATGAACAGGTAGATGATACCTAAAGGAAATGTAAAAACAATGACAAACTTACAAATTCTTAATATGCTACTCAAAAAGATGAGCCACAAATGAGGGCTAGTTCAATGCCTCCCAACCCGCAATAATGCAAAGATTTCTCTTAGTCCCTATTTTAAATAGTTATCATAGTTTATACAGTATTTCGATTACTCTTTCCATCTCCTCTAAATTCCCCAGAATACTTAAACCCTTTCTTGAGAACATACCCCATTGTATGCTATATCACAGTTGTTGTGGAGATAACTAAAGCTCCTTGAAGTCAGGGCCCATGAATATAGTGAACCCAACATAAAAGGTGTTCAGCTAAAACACTGGTATCTACTTTATGCCAAACACTGCTTATTATGTATCATTCATTCACAGTTACACATATGGCACTATAATACCTATTTTACAAATGATCAAAATGAGGCTTAAAGCTGACAAACGAATTGCCTATGATCACAGAGGTCACTAAGGGACTGAATTCAAACTTAGTATTTTCACTTGAGAACACAGTTTCATCATCAATAAATTCAGCAAGAACCAAGATATATGTTTAGAAATAGAAACAGATTCAACAGCAATATCTCTTAAACCAAAGTTAATTTTGTTCTATCATAAAGACACATGCATGTATATTTTGTCTCGTTTTTCCTTTAACATGGCAAAATAATCTAACATGCATGTAAATTTGCATCCTAGAAGGAACAAAAAGAAATTTTTAAAATGTGTATCGAACAAAACATGATCCTAAATAGCCAAAAGAATCCTGAGCAAAAAGAACAAAGATGGAGCCATCACACTGCCTAACTTTGAATTATGCTACAAAGCTACAGTAACCAAAACAGCACGATACTAGCATAAAAGCAGACACACAGACCAATGAAACAGAATAAAGAACCCAAAAATAAATCCACACATTTAGTCAACTTTCAAAAAAGCACCAAGAACATACTTTGGGGAAAGAACCATCTCTTCAACAAAGGGTACTCAGAAAACTGGCAGAAAAATAAAACTAGACCTCTATCTCTCACCACATACAAAAATCAAATCAAAATGAATTACAGACTTAAATGTGAGACCTGAAACCATGAAACTACTAGAAGAAAACATTAGAGAAATGTGTCAGGACATTGGCCTGGGCAAAGATTTATTGAGTAACACCTCAAAAACACAGGCAAGCAAAGCAAAAATAAACAAATGGCAAGCAAATAACAAAATAAACAGAAAAGCAAAGCAAAAATAAACACATCAAGCTAAAAAGCTTCTGCATAGCAAAGGAAACAGTCAACAAAGAGTCCCTTATAGACTAAGAAAAAATATTTGCAAACTATTCAACTGACAAGAGATTAACAACCAAAATATATAATGAATTTTAACAACACAAAATTATAATAATCCAATTAAAAACTGGGCAAAAGATCTGAACAGACACTTCTTAAACGAAGACATATAAATGACCAACAGCTATATGAAAAAATGTTCAACATTACCAATCATCAGAGAAATACTGATGAACTACAATGAAATATCATCTCACCCTGATTGAAAAGGCTTTTATCAAAAAGACAAAAAACTAACAGATGCTGGCAAGGATGTGGAGGAAGGAGAACGCTCATACACTGTTAGTGGAAATGCAAATTAGTACAGCCACTATTGGAAACAGTATGGAGTTCCTCAAAAAAAACTAAAAACAGAACCTACATATGATCCAGCAATCCCACTGCTGGGTATATATCCAAAAGACAGAAAATCAGTATGTCAAAGGGATATTTACATTCCCATGTTTATTGCAGCACTATTCACAATAACCAAGATATGGAATCTACCTGAGAGTCCATCAAGAGGTGAACAGATAAAAAAAATGTGGTGTACATACACAATGGAATATGATTCCGACATAAAAAAGAATGAAATCCTGTCATATGCAACAACATGGATGGATGGAAGTGGAAGTCATTATGTTAACTGAAATAATCCAGGCACAGAAAAACAAATATCACATGTTCTTCTTTATATGTGAGAGCTTAAAAAAAAAAAATTGAGCTCATGGAGATGAAGAGTAGAATGATGATTACCACAGGCTGTAAAGAGTGGTGGGGAAGAGCGGAATCAAGAAGGGATGGCAACGGGTACATAAAAATTTACATAGAAGGAATAGAAGGAATAAGATCTAGTGTTCTGTAGCACCATGAGGTAACAATACTTAATAGTAATTTGTTGTATATTTCAAAATAACTATAAGAGCAGATCTGAAATGTTCCTAATACAGAGAATCGATAAATGTTAGAGGTGATGGACATCTTAATTACTGATTTTATCATTATACGTTATAAGCTTAAATCAAAATGTCACATGTACTCCATAAATATGTAATATTGTATATCCATAAAAATAAATTCCTCCAAATAAATAAGCAAGCAAAGTGCTGTGGAATACAGTTGAAGGAACTCCTAAAGGAATGGGGAACACAGTTCCTTCAAAGAAGCAACAATAAAACGGACAGCCAACGTTCCAACCAAAAATGGACTCCAACTGCCATCCTAGAATTCTATGCCTAGTGAAAACATTGTTTAAAACAGAAAAAAGGTTTAGATTAAAAAGAAAACTGGGCAAAAATCATTGCTAATGTAAGTGTACTACATTAAATAATAAAAACCTCTTCAAAAAAAAAAAATTCTCAGATGGAGGCAGAAAAACCAAAAAAGGAATAAAAGATAACAGAAACGACCAAGGTATACATACAAATCTAAATGAGTATTTATTGCATAAAATAATGATAATAACATCTTCTAAAATCTAAAATACATATAGAATTTAAATAGGAGAAAAAAAGAAGAGCAAATAAATGGAGTTAATGCAATCTAAGGTCCTTGCATTGCCTGGAATGTGGTAAAAAATACTAGCTTGCAGTCAAGGAAGTAAATTATAATGTCTTGATTATAAAATAATAATCATCTATATAAAAGAATATATAGAAATAATGTATATAGAAGAATACTTGGCTGGGCACGGTGACTCATACCTGTAATCCCAACACTTTTGGGAGGCTGAGGTGGGAGAACTGTTTGAAGCTAGGAGTTCAACACTAACCTGGGCAAAAAAGCAAGATCCCAATCGCTACAAATGACTAGAATAGAATAGAATAGAATAGAATAGAATAGAATAGAATAGAGCAGAATAGAATACTTAATATATGTATAACTACAAGTTAACAGCTGAAAAAACTGGACTAATTTTAAAAACTAATTAAGAAAAGCCAGAGAGAAAAAAGAAAGAAAAATACCACATTGGACAAATAGAAAATAGCAAGCTAATAATCTGTATTCAAAAAATCAGTAATCCCAGTAAATGTAAAATGCATTAAAATATTCCATCTAAACTGTAAATATTGTCAAATTGGACCAAAAACATATTCTTAAAAAAAAAAAAAATTTAAGGACACAGAACAGCTAAAACTACAAGGATGGGAAAATACAAATCATGCTAACCACTAGCCAAATAAAAGCTGGTAAAGCTATAGTAATAATAGGTAAAGTGAATTCTATATAATGAAGCACTGCTAGAAATAAAGAGGTAATTTCATAATAATAGAGACAACCCACCAGAAGCATGTATACAAACTAAATTAGCCTCAAAATACAAATAGCCAGAACTGACAATGTCATAGTGGAGATTTTAACATGCCTCTCTGCTACCTGAAGGAACTTCACACACATACTATAAAGCAGACACAGGGAGAATCTGAACACTATCAATAAACTTGATATATTTTGATACTTATAGAACAATGTATCTAACAACTACTACATATACATTATTTATTATTTTCAAGTACACATGGAACATTCGTAAAAGCTGACCATATGCTGGGCCATAAAGTAAAATTCAACAAACTCCAAAGAATTAAAATCAGAAAATATTTTCTAATGTCAACACTAAGCTGAATATTAATAATAAAATAACTAGAAAACCTAATACACTAAATCTTCACTAATTACCCCCAATAACACTAAACAACCCTTGGATCAAAGAAAAAAAATCACAATGAAATTAGAAAGTATTTTGAACTAAATAATAAAATATGGCATATCAAATTTGTGGAATATACCAAAAGCCATACTTAGGAACACTGAAAGCTTTAAATGAAAAAGCAGCTAATAATCAATGGTCAATCCTCCAGTAAGTCAGAAAATAAACAGCAAATTAAGTCTGAAGAACATAGAAAAAAGAAAATAATAAAAAGCAAAGGGTAATACATCATGACCACCAAGATACCACCATACCTCCATCAGATGGGCAACAATTTTTAAAATGACAACATTACTGTGAGTAAATGAGTAATAAAACCCTTTCTCCTCTTTATGGACAAATGTGATCTTGAGCTAACTCTCTCTGTCGCTTTAACCAGTAAAATCAGATAAGTATGGAATGTCAATAATTTACTAAGCTGCTTTCCTTATGATGCAAACGACTCCTCACATCTGGACTGGGACGTCTAGGAATAAACTATAAGCGCATGATGGGATGGCACAGCTCTCAGTAATCTTGAGTGCTATGGCTCTTATAAACAACCTGGAAACTATGCCTACAACACACTTACTAGAAAACATATTATCTATTTGGGACATGAGGCTTCTAAGCCAGGACGGCTCCTAGTACCCACAAATGTGATTTCATTCAAAGCATGACTACTGCAGTCCAGTGAGTTTTATTATTTAGCCAAACCTAAACACCATTAAGACTGGTAATGAAAATACCAAAGGCTGGTGAGGATGTGGGGCAGCCAGTACTTTCACACTGCTGGTGGGAATGTAAATCAGCACAACCACTTTGTAATACTGTTTGGTAGTATCTACCAAAGCTAAACATAAATATCCTATATTCCAACAATGCACAAGTTCAAGAATGTTCTTAGCAGTATAATAATATTAATAGCCCAAAACAGAAAACAAATCAAATGTCCACAAATAGAATGGTAAATGAAAGTGTTGTATATTCTTACACAGAATACTACACAGCAATGAAAAGGAACCAACTATTGCTTCATGCAACAACATGGACAAATCTCTCCAAGTTGAGCAAAAAGCCAACATAATAGTGCACTCTATTTTTAAAGTTCAAAAACCAGCTAAAATAATGTATAGCAATAGAAATTAAAATAAGATTACATTTTGGGGTGGTAGAAGGTAATGAGGAAGCACAAAAAGCATTTCCGGTCTGTTAGTAATAGTCTATATCTTAATCTGTATGAGATAAATAGGTATGTTTACTCAGAAAAATTCAATGACTGTACCCTTATGACTTACATACTTTATGTACTTTATGTATGCCATGTGTCACTAAGACAATTTACTTTTTTAAAAAATCTAAAGAAACATGAAAATCAAACACAATGCAGGACCTTGACTGGATATTGCATTATGAAAAGATATATACAAAAGATACTTGGAGATAACTGGAGAAACCACATCATGTTATAGAATTATTTTTAATGTTGTTAGATATGATCACATTGTAGCAGGTATATAAAATAATGCCTTTAATTTGAGGATGTTCATGCTGGAATATATAGGAAGGAAGTAAATTTATGTCTGAAAGTTATTTCTTAGGAGAGAGAAAGCAAATAGACTCATATGTTAATAATTAATGACCTTAGGCTGAACGACATATAGGTATGCACTGTATAGTTCTTTCAACTTTCCTGTAAATTTGAATGATATCAAAATAAAAAATTGGTGGCGTGGAGATATACTTACGGAAATCTTCAAAGCACCATCGTGAAGGAACCATGAAAGCCCAAGTTATGGATTTAAATGCTAAATTAAAATTGTGAGAAACTATAGATTTTGATTTCCCTTTCTATAACAACATTTCATCCTTCAAGAAAATCAGAGAAATAAATTCTTTACCTTCTAAAAACTGAAACAGGCAAACTGAAGTCTGATGGCAAAGAAGGTTTACTGGGAGGATTAACAGACCTATTTTATAAAAAAAAAACAAAAAAACAAAAATAAACAACTGAGTAGATCAAGTTTTGTCTAACAAACTTAACTTAACCTCACTTCCTTGACTGCAAGTGAAATCAAACACTGCAACTGAGTCTATCATTTGGTATAGTAACAACATGTTTGCTACTTCCTGAGAGTAAATTAGGCTTTTAAAAAAAAAATTCCATGTAACATGATTCATGTAATGCAGCAGTGGTACTGGCAGGTGACCTTTGTGTGTCTCCTCCCATGGATCCTGCTCAAGATCAGTACTAATCATATTCTATCGTCCTAAACATCTTTCCAGTTTTTTAAAAATGATTAAATATTAAGAAAAAAACAAATGGTTGAAGGAATGCACTAAAAATGTAGATTTAAAGACAAAATCACTATAATTTTAAATTTTATACTTAATAATTTTAAAAATAAAATTTCAGAGTGATATTTTGAGCCAATTAGCTTTTGAATACTGCTTATTCAAACCAAAATTCATATAACATATGTCTAGCATGGAAAGCATAAGCCTCGTAAATCAGAAATTTCCACGCATTGCTGTAAGACTGCATCAGATAGCTGAGATAGTTATTAAGAGTAAAAAAATTATAAATTCTTATATCTCACCACATATCCATTCTTGATACTTCATCAAATAATAGAAGACAAAATAGTGCTCCAACTTCAGTCACGACAATACAATCTTCATGAAATATTAAGGAAACTGAATAAAAAGAAGCACAACTTTATGAAATATTTGTACTTCTATAAAGAATGAACTTCAAATTTAAAATATCTTAATTTGAAGAGAAAAGAAATGCAATGTTAACCCAGATAAGGTGACATCACTAAAACCCAGACTCTCATCTCAAACTTTTGGATGTACAAGAATCACCTGGAGGGTTTGTTAAAACAGTTTCTGATTCGATAGGCTTAGGGTAGAGCCTGTGATGTGCATTTCTAATAAGTTCTCAGAGGATGTAGATGCTCCTGGTCCAAGAACCACGCCTACAGATACACTCGCTAGACACTGCCTACTTTAGGTATAGAAACAAACTGATACACCCTCTAGGGTTATGCTGAGTCATGTAATTCTAGCTAAACTTTCTCACCAAGAGATCTTATAATTTTTGTCCTTTACTACAAACGTGATCAAAGAACTTGGATTTGACTTTAAAATGTTACGCTTGGGCTGTGTCGTCATTTGGGTTCCTGTTTGCTTACTATGACAAGATGATGGAAAAGGGAAGTGCTCTGAACTAACAGACATAATAATGCTGGCGCCACCACTTACTACTTAGCTAAGTGACCTGGTCAGGTTCTTTAACATTAAGTCTCAGTTTCCACTTCTGTAATGATCTCAATGCTACAATTTCTCAATGCTTGAAACCTATGAAATTCTAAACGAAGACATATTATGTACTTATCGCACAGGACTAACAGCATAATAGACAGCAAATTCAGGGAAGCAGCAATAAGAAATAAGTTTTGAGAGAAGACATTTTTCCTAACTGCAGGAAAAGAAAATCATCCTTATGTAATTGGCATGATTAAAAATAGCAATAAACCAAAAAGTAAAGAAACAGAGAACATGTAAAAATCGACTTATAATAGACATTTCATATCAATAAACCATAACATTTCCAAATAAATAAGAAAATACAGCAATGTATTTGTCTGATTTAAAATTTAATTTTTTTAACAACACTTGAAACACAGAAAGTATAGGAGCATATGTTTTCAATTTGGAACTGGAGAAAGTTCTACTTTTAGAACATGATAAAAAAAACTGCCCAACTGCCATAACAGAAAAGCTCTATATATTTCCATCAAATATTGTTTATTTAAGGCTAAAGATACAATAAATACATTTAAAAGGGTAGAAAAGTTGAAAGAAAATATTAATCACATAAAATCAAGTATAAAGATTGTATCTATCTTACAATAAAAAACCCTACAAGTCACTGAAAAGAAATTAAATACAACAGGAAAATAGGCAATTCACAGATTAAGAAATTTGAATATACATGAAAAGATAATCAACTTCACTAAAACTAAAATAAGAAAATATAACAATGTATTTTCACCTACAAGATTAAAAAAAATTAATGCGACATATTAAGTGTTGGCAAAGTTATAACGAAAATAAGTATTTTTAAACACCTTCGGTGAGAGTGATTTTGAAAGGAACTTAACCATTATCTTATAAAATCTCTTTGACCTAGGAATTCCAATTATACTGTATGCACAAAAATGATCGCACAACACGATTACTGTCATGGTGAAAAATCTGAAACAAATACCCAGTAATACAGCAAACTGAAATTCTGAAACACCAATGCAGTAGTTTTTAGAGTTTTTGAAGAATATATACTCACATGAAATACTATGGAAAGATAATCAAGTTATATTTCCAGTTGAAAAAAGTAAGTAACACAATACTAATATACAGAATGAAAATTACATGTGTGTGTAGAAAAGGTCATTCGGAATAATACATTCCTAATGACAACCAGTACAGTCTTCTTTGGGGAAATTGAGAAAAAGAAGAAAATGAAAACTTTTGGAATTTGGATAGTTCTATATCGCCTGAATTTTTACAATAAGGATGTATAGGTCTCTGATTATTTAAAACAAAAGCAAACAAACGTAAGGAAGTTTGGATTTTTTCTCAGCAGCAAAAATAAATAAATAACCCAATAACCATTTTCTCGTTATAGCCTTGGCCAAGTTGCTAAATCTCTCTAGGCCTCACACTGAGATGGTATAATAAATGATTTCTAAGTTAATTTCTAACACTGAAATACAGTATAGAAGTCTGTCATAACATAAAGTTCATGATTCAAGCAATGTTATCTGAGAAGTTATTTAATTATTGTACTCTTTTGATCCATTATCCATGCTACAGAAATAATCTTCCTGAAACACATACTCCCCTGTTTAACAACCTAAACGGCTCCTCACTGCTGTTTAATAAGACCCTCCAGGCCCTGCACGAACTTGCCTCCCTGCCTCATCCCATCATTTCCCTTCACTCCACACTCCCGAAATCCAGCCAACTCCATCTCAAACACATCCAACTCCCATACACACAATGATGGCTCCCACTATCTAGAAGCTGATCTTGTCTATTTGATCCCCTATTCATTTTTGGAATTCCATCTCAGATGCCACATTTCCTAGAAACAATCTCTGCTACTTTTCACCAACCAATCTAACCAGAATGTCCTCCGGCACCAGGAATCCCCAACTAAAAGTATTATTGTGCTGTATTGCATATTTACTTGTCAACATCTCCAACTCTACTGTAAGCTCCATGAGGATCATTTACTATGCTCATCGATATAACCCAAAAGCCTAGCACTGTACCTAGCACATAGCATGTGCTTAATAAATGTTTGCTGAGAAACGGATTTTCTTGGTTAAGCAGCTGGTTAAAAATTAATTTTTCGGCTGGGCACAGTGGCTCAAGTGTGTAATCCCAGCACTTTGGGAGACCGAGGAGGGTAGATCACCTGAGGTCAGGAGTTTGAGACCAGCCTGGCCAACATGGAGAAACCCAGCCTCTACTAAAAATAACAAAAATAACAAAAATAACCTGGGCATGGTGGCAGGCGCCTATAATCCCAGCTACTCAGGAGGCTGAGGCAGGAGAAATGCTTGAACCCAGGAGGCAGAGGTTGCAGTAAGCTGAGATCGCACCACTGCACTCCAGCCTGGGTGACAAGTGTAAAACTCTGTCTCAAAAATAAATAAATAAATAAATAAAAATAACTTTTCCTGAAACTAAATCCATTAATGGGAGACACTATATTCATTCTCAGACTTGTTGAAAGTAATTTCCACAAACAGCAATGAAATAGAAAAACTGAAATACTGAAAAGGGTATATATAGATTATGTTGCCTTGGAATGTGTCTTTGAATCCAGTAGGTGTTCATAATAAGTTCCATGCTTGAATAATTTAAATAAAAATTATAAATGAAAAGGTAAACTAGGAACTAAATTCAACTGAATGAGGTTAAGAAGACAATTATTTATAACAGGATTTAAAAAAACTAAAAATTCATAACTGTTGCTCTTTGAGATGATCAGTCCATACAAACTTATAAAAATGTTACAGTCTACTCAAAATGTTACGAGTCTAAACACACTGAATCTGTTTAGAACTTTACCTGGTTTTACTGCTGCTACTTAAATAAACTGCATGTTACACTTGGCAAGCAGAAGTCAATAGGAAAAAAAATTCTAAAAGAAAACAACTATTTCTAACAACATATTTTGAACATAAATCTCACTTATCTCCTATATGCCTGATAACGGACAAGATGAAGCACATTCAGATACTTGGTCAACATGACTCTTGTAGAATACTAAAAAGCAGTGGCCTAAACCTCTAAGAAAGAAAATAGTACAAAATATTACCAAGGGTCTCCATTGAGGGAGAAAAAAAAAAAAAAACAACAGAGAACAAAAGCAGGACAAAAGTATATGAAGTGTGTTCATCTAATACCTTACTAAATTAGAATCAAATTAAAATGGGTTTTTAAAACCCACACTTTATAGAATGTAATCAATTTAGGCTCAGAGTCGCTTAGGATAGTCTAGTGTCCACCCACACAAGTTGAGTCTATACTCTTAATGCCTGTCAAATGAAATAATCAGACAAAATGTACAAGATCCAAAGGCACAATCAAAACAAGAAAGATGAAAGAGATATTAGAAAGAAGACAGTAATAACAGCAGCTGCAACTTTCTCTCTTTATAGATAATAGTTTACTATCTGAGCACCAGATGACATCTACATCAAGGTGCAAAGAACAATCAGAGGTTTCAGCTTTTCTCAGCTCTAGAGTCCACTCAGTAACAGGACTATAAAGCAATTTCCACAAAAATATTAAATGTTTTCCATTGTGATTAGTTTTTAGTAGTTTTCACTAATAAATGCTGCTGTTCTATTAGTAAAAGCAAATGTGACTTACAATTAAAGAAGAAACACTTAAAACTGAAGAATAATCTTATTAGCAGATTCTTTTATTTACCTCTGAATAACAGTGTCAAAACAGAAGACTGTTGTGAGAGGGAAACACGCATGACTGGATCGCCACATAAAAGCTTCCTCAAGAGTGTCAGGCATGGCTGTACCAAACATTCTACAACCTGGTCCAGGAGGGAAAACACAGCTGTTTTATTTTTGCCAATTATCAGGTGAGATCAAACATAACAATATTATCTTACTCTAAATTTTATGCTTTTTCATCAAAATTATGTGAAACTAAAATGTAAGTAAATACTGAGAATTACTTTCCACTGAAAGTAAGTTTTGTGTATACTTCTGCTTACCTATCTTACGGAAATTTTAAGATTCGCTTTCCTTTATAGAGACTCCACTTTTAGAATTTTAAACAATGAATGAAATAGGAGGTGTTACTTAGGATTTAAAATCCAAGTACTCATATAAATTCTGCTCAATTCAATTTCAGATCAGATTAAAAAAACAACCGGTAAAACAATGCCTAGAAGTACATCAGCCTTACCTTGCCATCTTGACCCACACATTCATTTAAATACTGAATTATTTTGTCAGTTAAGTGTAACTTTTTCACCACAGCATGCATTTTAATATCTGCAGACCAAAAAAAAAAGGTTATTAAAAGTTAAAAAAAAATCTTTGAAGTTTTAAAAACGTATTTTAAAGTACACGGAACTGATATCCACACAACTTTCAGACTATTAAAAATAGTTAGACCTGAGGCTGACATTAGAGAATGAAATTTTTTACTTTATATACATATGTCCAATTTAAAAATGTTTAAGTAAAAAGCATATTTTAACTTCTGTAATATAAAAAACAAAAGTTTAAAAAAAGAATTAGGTGAACCAATTCTGACTGAAAATTACTAGAATTTTAGGTGTACAAATGAATCCTTATATTTATACGTGGCAAACTGTCTTCTTTATGTCATTGACTCTTCCAAATTTATCACCTTCAAATGTTTATAATCCTCCACAAGCTCATGTGTAAAATATGACTTGCAACATGAACATTTTTCTATCAATAAAAAATCTCTAACCTCAAATTATTAATGGCAAATATAAAAGAAACAACATTATAATAAACTCCATATATTTCTAGAGAACATGAGCTTCTTTTTAATAAACATATTCACATATTACATTTGTAATAAAAACATTTTTGTATACACACACACAAATTTTATATGCATGCACACAGGCACACACAAAAGTTACCAAAGCCCAAAACTGTAATTGTTTATATATTCATTTTAAGTATTTAACAACTTGCAGACAAATTTTATCCTATATTCTCACTGGGAAACACACACACACACACACACACACACACACACACACACACACACAGATATTGAAGTGGTAGCTATCACTGTAACAATCTTTAGCTGCTACTTTAAAAAAAATTTCCATTGCCCCCCAATACAGTGCATACAAAAATTATACAGTATATTTTTTAATGTTAACAATATTGAAGGAATACTCTTTAACAGGGTTTTTCTTGATCTTTTTTAACCAGGGCTTTCCACATTTTCTGGTCTTATTTTCTGTAGTCTGTGTTATTGTTGTTAAAACTACAAATACGTGGAATATGCTTTTTCAAATTACTCTCTCATCCCAGTTTCCACTAATGTCAAGACATGAAGTGCTAACCACAAAAATCTTTTTATATAAACTCAAAGTTATCATTTCTCATAAATATTAAAGTACATATTTCACATATGGGGAAAAATTTAAAACTAACCCAAAGGACAAAAGCCTATGGAATAACACTACAAACAAAGCTACTGTATTATACAAACAAACAAAACATGTATTATACTGGTTGTTTTTAAAAATAAACTTTTTAAGGAAAGGTATAGCTACAGTGTACTATTTTTATTTTACCTGCCAAACAGGTATTATTTGATTAATTCCCCTAAGCAAGATGGTACAAATTGAAAATATGATGCATGCACTCGGTAAATTGAGAAAGGAACACGCACTTCACTTTCAGAAGCCTATCAATATTTTAAAAAGAAGATCATTCTATCAAATGGCATTTTATTGGTCAAATAATAACAAGGGGTTAGCAAACTTTTTCTGTAAAGAATCAGGTAATAAATATGTTGTCAGGCTTTGACAGACATGTATGGTCTCTCGCATATTCTTTGGTTTTGGTTTGGTTTTGGTTTGGTTTTGTTAACAACTCTAAAGATGGAAAAACCATTCTTGAGGGCTGTTAAAAAAAAAAAAAAGCCAGAGGCTGGATTGTCTTCTGGCCCATAAACCATTGTTGCCAACCCCTGCCAGTACCATACAGCAATCTAAAATTCTATTATCAGCAGTACAGCAATTATTTTCCTTAGAAAACATTACCTTGCATAATCACAGCTAACTGTTCGGCAGCTGACTTTCTCAAAACAAGATCAACATCATCTGAGATGAAGATTTCATATACTTTTTCAACAGTCTCCAGCTACAAACCAATAAAAAAAAAAATTATCTGTTTCCACTTCTCCAATAAAATTTTATAGTTTGTTCCCTATGAACAAAAGCTAAAAAAGTCAACTTATTTATATAACCAACATATTTACACGTAAATTCGCACGATGCTGGGTTGAGTAGTAGTTCTATATTTAGGTCTTTAAGGAATTGCCACACTGCTTTCCACAATGGTTGAACTAATTTACACTCTCAACAGTGTATAAGTATTCCCTTTTCTCCACAACTTCACCAGTGTCTGTTATTTTTTTATTTTTTAGTGATTTTTTAGGCATTCTCACAGATATGAGATGGTCCCTCACAGCGGTTTTGATTCGCATTTCTCTAATGAATGATATTGAGCTTTTTTTTCTTATGCCTTTTGGCCACATATATGTCTTCTTTTGAAAAATGTCTGTTCTGTCCTTTGTCCACTTTTTAATGAGGTTGTTCATTTTTTTCTAACAAATTTGTTTCAGTTCCTTATAGAAGTTGGATACCCAAAGAAATACAAATCATTCTACCATAAAGACACACATGCATGCAAATATTCACTGCAGTACTATTCACAAGCAAAGACGTGGAATCAACCTAAATGCCCATCATTGGCAGATTAGATAAAGAAAATGTGGTACATATACACCATCGAGTCCTATGCAGCCTTAAAAAAGGATGAGATCATGTCTTTTGTAGGAACATGGATGAAGGAAGCTGAAGGCCATTATCCTTAGCAAAACAACGCAGGAACATAAAAGCAAATACGGCATGCTCTTACTTACAGGTAGAAGCTAATGATGAAAAGACAGGGACACAAACAGGGGAACAACTGGGGCCCCCCTGAAGGTGGGGGCAGAAGGAGGGAGAGGATCAGAAAAATAACTATTGGGTACCAGGCTTAGTACTGGGGTGATGAAATAATCTGTACAACAAACCTCATGACACGAGTTTATCTATATAACAAACCTGCACATGTACCCCTTAACCTAAAATAAAAGTTTAAAATAAATACATAAATAAATAAAATTTGCAAGAATTATACAGTAGGTCAAGAAGGAACTTAAGCTCTAAAACAGAGTCATCATGTCAAGTAAGTTTTTGTGTTGTTTGGTTTTGTTTTTTCAGACAGGGTCTCACTCTGGTTGCCGAGGCTGGAGTGAAGTGGTGCAATCTCAGCTCACTGCAGCCTCGACTTCCTGGGCTCGGGTGATTCTCCTACCTCAGCCTCCCAAGTTGCTGGGACTACAGGCTTGCACCACCGAGCCCAGCTAATGTTTTGTATTTTTAGTAGAGACAGGGTTTTACCATATTGCCTAGGCTGGTCTCGAATCCCTGGGCTCAAATGATCCACCCATCTCAGCCTCCCAAAGTGCTGAGATTACAGGCACTAGCCACTGCACCCAGCCCCTCTCTTCTTAATATACATCTTTGCTAGGAAGACATTCATAACCCATTAATCCATTAGCAACCTTACAAAGGTAACAGAAAAAATCCATGTTCCCTAACATCTTTAAAGGTAGTACCAGGCTAATCTGAGAAGAGTGACCCAGACCTAAGACTCAAGATTTCCCTGTTGCTCCCAGAAGCCACCAGCTGGTATTCCCATGGACCCTTCCATTCTTTCTCTTAGAAGACTCTAGAGCAGACAGCACTCTGGGACTTGCTGTCCAGAACCCATTCAAAGCTTCCCCCAAGACAAGTCTCTGTCACTTCAGGCTAGGACAGAGTCTGAGGTGGCAAAACCAGCATCAGGAAAAAGGGACAAGAAAATAACAAAGATGAAGCTCCTTTCTCCTACTCACTGCTATCTTCCAGTCCTAACATGGACTCACAGAAGACGTGTCAGAATGCTCCCTCCCCACCTGTCTCCATACATCAGGACACAGGAGTTAATACCAATGGCTTAGGACTCAGGGAAGTTCCAACCAGAACTGGTATGTGGCTGGTGGGAAGACTCTCCAATCCTCTTGACAGCACCGTCACACAGCCCTGAACATTCAGTTTAGAAGAACATAATATGTTTCCCCATTAAAAAACAAACAAAACAAAAAAAGTATCATATTACATGTGGCTCTACCATACTTCTATGGGCCTTAGAGAGTTAGTCTAAAACAAAACAGAGAGATTGCAAACTTCAAGTGAAATGAGAAGGTATGAAACACAGGAATGAATCCATGAAAATACTGGACAGATTCTTTATAGAATTCTGCATCAGTCTACCATGCTATAGGTACAGTCCTAGCTAATCCAAGGACATGTATTTACAGCCGCTGCCCATCGCTCTCATTACCGCCTGAGCTCCACCTCCTGCCAGATCAGCCAAGGCATTGGATTCTCATAGGAGTGCAAACCCTATTGTGAACTAGGTGTGAGGGATCTAGGTTGTCTGCTCCTTATGAGAATATAACTAATGTCTGATGATCTGTTGCTTTGTCCCATCACCCCCACATGGGACTGTCTAATTGCAGGAAAACAAGTCCAGAGCTTTCACTGATTCCACATTTATGGTGAGCTGCACAACTATTTCATTATATATTACAATGTAATAATAATACAAATAAAGTGCACAATATATATAATGCACTTGAATCATCCCAAAACAATACTCCTTCCTCAATCCACGGAAACACTGTCTTTCATGAAACTGGTCCCTAGTGCCAAAAAGGTTGGGGACCACTGCAATAAATCAATGTATCCAGAAGCCGGATGAAGCCAGAACACAATCTCAAACCAGCCCTGAATCCCTATACTTCTCTTCCACCCCAGGACATACACAAACTAAAGAATGTCATATAAAATATGTCATATAAAAATGTATCAAATTACCACACAGTAATAAACTCAAAAGTTATAGTCACCTTAATAACCAGCTCTCTTCTGTCATCCAGTTTGAGTTCAATAGGCTTCTTCACAATGAATAAATTAGTAACTCTGGAGAGAACTCTGGCATCTATTAGAGGGCGCTTTGTATCAGCCCCTTCTTCACTGGTAAGATGGAATGCTAAAAGCTTTAATGCGAGTGCACGGACCCTAAGAACACAAAGTACTTAGGTCGAACTTTTGTGATAAACAAATGTCCATTTTAAAAGGGCTTATAAGTACAAATAATTATACGTCAACAAGGTACAATAAGTAGTCACAATTATACTGCCATTACTAGTAATAATTCACTTTTTCTATAAAAAAATCTTTGATATATAACCATAATGATTTATTCAATATAATAATTATAAAATAAACATCAGGAGCAAAAAATAATAACTACAAATGAGACAGACTCACTGAGATTAAATGTCAGTAAACTTCAATAAGTACATCTGTGAATTAAATCTATAACTCCTGTCTTCAAATCTAGTGATCTATTCTCAACCGTAAAAAGTATCACAGGCCCTGGACCAGAGACCAAACCCTCAGATGAACCCACAGGAGAGTAATGATGCTCACAACTAAAGTGTGACAACACTACAGTGTAGGATAATCTTCTTATATTCCTGTCAAATGTGAAAATACAAATACTTTTTTTTTATCTGGAAGGGATTAGGAATATGGACAGCTGAGTGGGGAGGTGGGAGATTTTTCAAGAAAAGAGTAAATACTGTATGCCACTAAACAATGAAACAGAGAAACAGAAAAACCATCAAGTGGACAAAGATCACTGAGATGGCAGATACTGAGTCAACCATGTATCTTTTTCTCCTCTGGTGAGTTCTTGAACTACCTGGAAACCAGACAAATTTTAAGCAATACAAGTTGCCAGGTTTTAAGAGCTACCTATAAGACAGCAATTAAAACATGCATCCTTAGGGTGGCCCTCCTACTATAGACTAGAGCAGGTTGCCTTCCGTATGTAGACCCGCCACCCTGAGCCCCTGCATCATAACTTTTATCTCACTTTATGACAATTAATACTAAAGAATAATTGATAATAAGAGCACATTCCCCGTTACGTGCTAAATGCTGAAAGGGCAGGGCCCATGTCTGTGTTGTGTGCTGCTACGTTCCCACAGCTCACAGGTATATAGAAGTCACCCAATAAATACTTCCTGAATTTAACACAAAGTAGGCATCTACTGCAATATCGTTAATTGATATCATCTCCAGAGGACTAATAAATCAGGTAAACTTTCCCCCTCTCCATTTGTAAGTTACCTCAAGAGAGCTTAGAAAGGCTAAACACCTGCCTATTTTCCATTGTTCCTTACATTCTAAGCCAACGATATCTAAATCGATATCTGAGGTTGTCAGTTGAAAGACAGGTATAACCCCTAGTAAAGATGGCTAGTGATGAGATATGTAAAGCATGTATTTATGCCTCTTGTTCTCTGGTATATATACGTTTAGGGTCTTTTTAGGTTTAGCATAGGATGCCAGAATCTGGTTATTCCTATACATGTATGTAATTCTTTTAATATTTTTTGAGTATAGTCATGCACTGCATAACAATGTTATAGTCAACAGTGGATCATATATTCAATGGTGGTCTCACAGAATTATATTATTGTATTTTTCTAAACCTTTTCTATGTTTAGATACACAAACATCACTGTGTTACAACTGCCTACAGTACTCAGTACAGTAACATGCTATACAGGTTTGCAGCCTAGAAGCAACAGGCCATATGGCATGGCCTAGGTATGAACGTAGTAGGTTATTATCACTTAGGTTTGTGTAAGATACATTCTGTGATGTCCACATAAGGACAAAAATCACCTAACAGCGCATTTCTCAGGATGCACCCATGTCATCAAGCAACGCATGACTGTGTATTTATGTTTAAAGTACTCTATGAAGTTCTGAGGATATAAAGATTAGCCAATGAACAGGGTTCTTGCCTACATAAAGTTTATGGATGTGTTGGTGGGATAGGGTAGAATTAAAAAAATAAGAAAAACAAATATGTCATTAAAATTGTTTTAAGTTCTGGATAGTAGAGAATTATCTTAGTCTGGCCTTGCCTTACCCTACCCCCTGGGGATGGCTTGCCCTAAAATTCTTTATTAAACTGAGGACCTTGGGCCCCCAAAAGCAAACAAGAAATGACCCCTGTTGTGTTGAATCTCCAAATTTGGGGGTTTGCTCAAGTAAAGAGTACCACACTAGCACATTAATTAACAAGGAACAGTTCCTCTACATGTGTAGAAGACAAGCCCTGAGAATACAAGCACTTTAACTCCCTCCGCCTACTTCTTCCTGTATCACCCATAAGATCACTCTCTACACTACACTATTTTAAAGACTCTATAGTCTTCCTTCTTCCATTCTCTTAATGGTTTAGTTAACTTCCACCTACTTCCTTATTTTTCAGTCCAATAATCTGTCTATAAATAAGCTGCTATATTTTCTTGATGTAAGGTTTGGAAAACTCAAATTAACCACTGTCAAAAGAATGTCTGTCCGTTCTTCCTAGCCTTTTCAACCAACTACTGCTCTTTATCTCTGCTTATCCATCTCGACTCTAAGCATTTTTTTCTTTCAGTAAGGGAAAATCTAACCACTGTTACCTAAAAATAATAACAGAAAACATTCATGTTGCAATGACAGAGAAGGAAGAAAAACAGTATCATTCTCTTTCTTTTCATTAATTAAAACAATGCTTATAGAAAGGATACGTTTTCGGTTTCCCAAGTAAGAACACACATAAATGAGATTAAAATACCTGCATAACTCTGGGATATGAGACAAGTGGCCTACTACACTCATGAAAAACTTAATATTCAGAACAGATGTTTACAAAAGGATCACTCTGGGAGGCTAACAATTTCTAAAGAGAAGATGGAAATACGCTGTAATTTTTACCATTTATTTATCTCCATGGCTCTCCAGCTTGCCTAGGGTACCACTGAACAGCACTCATTAGCAGTGCTATAACACAGGCTGCTCTGGCAAGGGATAACTCAGTTGTAAAATGGATGAAACATCAGCACGTACATAAAAGACGTTGTATCTGCTTAGTTTCATGCATTAGTTTCCTCTAGTAATGTAGTATCACCCCCTTAAAAATTATTTAGTTTTATTTCAAATTAACATAACTATTATACTTTCTTACATGTTTTCATTAATCTTCAAAACAAAAATGTTCAAAAGATTATGTTGTACTCACGATGGCTTTTTCACTAGCAAAAGTCGCAGCACGAACTTTAACCGGGTAGTACAGGGAAGGATCTCTTCTCCTGTGTCAGAACTTGCTTTGCTTAAAAGGAGAATGCAGTTACCCAAAGGATCTTCTGTGTCAGCATAGCCCTAACAGATTTGTTTTTAAAGAGAAATCATTGTTTAATTTTATACTTAACTTTTCAACTTAAAAATAAGAATTGTGTTGTCCTGTCAAGCAACTCATAAATGTCTTTCAACGCAGTTGAATACAATAGTAATTTTTCAAAATAAGCTCTATGAGGTAAGGAGCCTAAATAAAGCTGTATTTAAAAGAAAATACACATACATACAGGAGAACTTCAAGAAAACATGCCAACCTTCTTGACACTTGCTGATTTTCTGTTTTTTAAGATTCTAACAGCGGCACCTTCGCTCGGTGAAGCGCCTCGAAGATCCTCAGCCCATCCCACCCTAAGAAGATGGAGTGCTATAAATGCCACACCCATGGAATAGGACCCTGTCCATCTCAAGGCACAAGGCCTGGGCTCTCTCTTCTAAAACAAGACTGTGCCTATGATGGCATTCTGAACTCTACCTTTTCATCCAAAAGAGACAGGGACCTGACTCCTTTAATATCCAGGATTGCATAAAAAAATTTAAAAAAGCTGTTTCTAAGAGCATGTTAATTAAAGTATCACTTTAATCTTAATACATGCATGGATAGAATTAATGAAGCAAGGCAGCTTTGTAAGGTCTGCTTAAAAAGCATGGTTAGCTCTGTCTAAAAGCCTTTGTATGAGGTTGAGTTCTATTTTTCACAGTCAGTGCTGTGCCTGCACCTCACTTTTTAACCTCCCACCCAGATATATAAAATATATACAGAAAAATATGTTTGTCTGTATATATCCTTAACTTTCTGCCAGAAACAAGACAGCCACCCACTTCCTGTTCACTCATCCACAGCACCTTCACAGCTTCTCTTCATTTTTCCCTCAGCATGACAGTTTTGCTGTTTGCATGTGTTTAAATCACTCAGACCTAGCCAAAGATAAATGGTATCATAAAAGGTGAATTTCACAGAATACCTGCAGTACTGGAATGACAGGACAGAGAGATTCAATAAATTTGTTCCAGGTCAGTGCTGTCATCATCAGTCGTCCCTGAAGCAGGTATAACAGAATGGCCTTGGCAGCAGTGTTCACCTGCTCAACACCACAGACCCAATAAACGAGTCAAATGAGATGTTCTGCTAGGTCACCTGACATAACTGTAGCATTTCATAACATCTGGAAAGATGCTAGAATTAACATGTCTTTCTCCAAATGTTCACATTCTCATAGCATCATCTTACATTCTGTTCTAATTTTTTCTTCCTTAATGATTTCTACTTTTTTACCTTTAATGTGCATTTGTCCCTTGAGTAAAAATTTCCCTAACTGAAATAACCTGCTTAGTATAGCGCTCTGTACTGTACAGTTCTCAACATCTTAGATGAAAAATGTAAGTAAATTGATGTAAATATTTTGAGATCAAGTGTGTTTTGTATTTTTATTCCCACATTTTACATAATGTTTGTTTTTATTTAAATAACACTTCAACTGAACCAATGCACCAAAGACAGGTTTCTTTTTAGTTCCTCACCATGCTATCTAAACTATATTAGAATATCACCTCAATTTAGCTGAGTAAATTACAGTAATTTTTTTCACTGTTTTTAACATCATACCTCACTTTTGGGCTCTTGAATGCCAAATACAGAGATTTCATACAGAACTTTCGGATGAAGTAGAAAATGAATTCCATTGCAAAGTGAAGACACAGGTTTAGCAACATTATGAACACCTAAACATTCCTGTAAAATAATATTAAAAAGTATTTTTAAATTAGCAACACTGATTTTTCCAAAAGATCCGTCTTTCTTCTATTTATGATCCAATTTCTATTTTAGTTTTTACTTCATTTAAACCTTTTTTAATAATAGAGAATGAGAAAGAGTCTCCTGTCCAACAGTTTCTTAGTTTGTATGAGATATATATTACTTTCTGCCAAAAAGCGTAATAATGATAAATTAAGTAAACAAATGGCTGAGACAACCATAATCTCTCAAAGTTATTCATCATGATAGTCACAAAGGACATAAACACAATAATAAACTTATCCTAAAGCATTTGCATTTTACTTATAAAGGTTGAGAAAGAAAAATTCAACATGAAAAGGCTAAAGTTATGGGAGACATAACTTTATATATATCAAGGATATATATAAAGTTATCATCAATATAGCTATATACCTAAAATACAATTACTTTGAACCATCACTTAGAGTAACTATCAGAAATTTTTTTCTCAATATGTGATAGAGAATAATATTTTGTTAGCAGCTATTTAAGGTGGGGGGGAAGCTACTTGAAATGTTAATAGAATTTAAATACAATATAGAAGGTTAAAATATGATCAATAGTGAGTTACATGAATACAACTTTTTTTCATTCTGCAAATTTCTACTTCCTACTACCAACAATTCAAAGGTCAAAAAGGTACCTACATACACTCACATACGTATATGCATACATCATTTTTCTTTCAACTATTAACCTCATGCCACAGACAGCAACTTTGTATTATAAGCTTTTCAAAGATCTAGCCTTAGCCTTAATAACAATAGCTGTCACTTACTTCCTTAAGATACTTACCTACCAGCTAAACTGTGACTATACCCTTCTGAAATCAAGATTCACTCCCTCAGATTGTCTTACTTTTCTCCAGCACCTTTATTTTTCTTCACACGATTATTCTAATCACCATATGACACATTCTAATGTGTCTCCGGCCCTGGCTTCCCCCTCTTGATAACAATTCATTTTTCAGCTCTCCTTCCCAGCACAAGTCCTCCCAAGAGTTCACTGTCCTCAGTTGGTACTTCCACATTTGCCGGGCCCTCTTCAACCAACACCAGCAGGACTTATGTCCCTACCATTCCACAGGAGCTTCTTGTAGAGGACACCAACAACCCCAGTGATGCCAAATCCAATGTGTTCATCTCTGTTCTCATCTGACTCTTCCTTCTCACCTCTGTCTCCACTACTGGCTCCCTCTGTTCCCAACTTCTAACTGGTTAGATCCTAGAAGGCCTTCTCTTCCCTAGTCTCTCAGTAGTTGATCCTATCAGGGCTTGTGGCTTAAATATCATCTCTATGCTGATGACTGAAAATTTTACACCTCATCTGGGCTCCACACTCCAAAGGTAGTGTGGTGCAATACTTAAGAATATGGGCTTTGGAGTGAAATGATCAGGGTTCAAAGCCCAGTTTTACTACTTTTAGTTGAATGACCTTGGACAAATTCAAAATATCTCTGTTTTCAGAAAGAGATAGTACCTAGCTCACAGAGCTATAGATTCAATGAGATAATATACTCATAAAAGTACTTGATACATAGAGTAAATGCTCAATAAATATTAGCTGCTATCATTACCACTGAAATTATTAGTATTATTATATTTAACAGTCACTTAACATCTGTACTTGATATAAAAAGGCATGTCAAACTTACGTTCAAAACAGAATTCTACCCAATGCACAATCCCATATTTGGGACATCAATCCAACTGCTAAATCCAAATTCTTAAAATTCATCCTTGATCACTCTGTATCTCCCACTCTCATTATCAGCAAGACCAATTAGCTCCAGGTCCATAATATATCCTAAATTCATTTCCTTCTCTTCATCTCCCCTACACCACCACATCTCATCAGGGCTGCTAAAATGGAACTGGTCTTCTTGCTTCCATTCTAACCCTCTACAATCCATTCCCCATGCAATGTGAGAGTGATCTTTTCAGAAAGATCATCAGATCACGTTAAAATCATTCAAAGTATCTCACTGTACTTACAGTAAAATTCACAGCTTTACAATGTTTGGCACCCTGCCTACTTTTCAGACCCAATCTGGTATCACTTATCTATTATCTCATTATAATGCCCTTCTTTTTGTTTGTGAAACACACAAAGTACATTCTCACCTGAAAAGCAGAGACTTTTCACCTATTGTTTCCTCTGGCTAGAAATTCTCCCTCCCTAGCCAGCCTACATAAATTTAGTCCACATTACTAGTCATTCCCTATTCCTTCGCCCTTTTACTTTCTTTACAACATTATTTTCTTTAAAACCCTATATCCATAGAATGCATATATAGTGTAGTAAAGAAAATTATAAATATACACATATTCTGCATATGTTATAAAGAAAACCATACACATATATATACACTCACACATATATAAATACATACTTTTTGTGTATTTAAAGAATATTTTTAAATTATTACATACTTCTCTCTCTCCCCCCTATCAGAAGGTAAGCTCTCTGCTGACAAGGCTCTTTTCTGTACTTTGTATCACTACAGTCTAGCATACAGAAAGTGTCCAGTAAATATTGCTAAATGAATGTCAGATGCAAGTAGCATGGAAGTGGTCACCATTTAATCATCCCTAGGTTTAAAAGCTATTTCACATCTTTATCATACCGTCCTGAAAGTTAAGTCTTACCATAAAAAGCTAACTTGCCTCTTCAGAAAAAGTAACCTACACATTAGCAGCCTGCTCCTACATTTAGGTCAGGTAGAGCTGCAGCAATGCCTTGGAGGTTTACCAGAAGACACTGGAATAATATCGTATCACAGACATAGCCGATTAAGGTGAAATACCATTACAAAACCTTATATCTTTATATGTAGTACAACGTACTACATCTTTACAACACAGAGGCTAGCTAGAAGAAATCTCATCATTTGGAGCTTTTGACTTGGATTATTGTAACTCCCTGAAAATAAATACTTAATCAATTTTTTAAAACCACAATGCACTATACAGACGAGTATCTTTTGTGAGAAAAGAAAAATCACAATTATATTTTGCAAGAACAGTGTCAACTAACATAAATTTTCAAATAGTTAACAAGGAGAACATTAAACGAAAGTTCACATTCTTTTATTTTCTCCCCTTTTAAAACTAGGATATTAAGGTGAGTTTTAACAAAAAATAGCTTTTAAATTTTTGCAACCAAATGTATGACGCTTCGTTATAAAGACTATAGTATATTAAAATCTAGAATTTTCAAACTTACTAACATTTTTTTGAAAAACAAATTCAAGACTGACACATATGTATTTATTTCTGACATACTTTTTTTCCTATCATCCTAGTGATAGGAAAAATTATCTGAATGTTACATAAATGTAAATCTTAATGAAACTTCGAATAAAGCAATTTAATTGCTGGACTTACTAAGTTAAGGAAGTTTAATAGTACAAATTTTCCAGAATTGACTAGTAATTATCATCTATTTTTATGGGATATAGTTCTTATATTTCATACAAAAGATCAATAATTTAAGTTTGACGGTATAACAAGAGAGGCTACTATTTGTTCTCAAAAGCAAAACATACAGGCCGGGCACAGTGGCTCACACCTGTAATCCCTGCACTTTGGGAGGCTGAAGCGGGCAGAATATGAGGTCAGGAGATGGAGACCATCCTTGCTAACATGGTGAAATCCCATCTCTACTAAAAATAGAAAAAATTAGCCAGGCGTGGTGGCACATGCCTGTAGTCCCGGCTAATCGGGAGGCTAAGGCAGGAGAATCGCTTGACCCTGGGAGGCGAAGGTTGCAGTGAGCTGAGATTGCATCACTGCACTTCAGCCTGGGCGACATAATGAGATTCTGTCTCAACAACAAACAAACAAAAAAAAAAACAAAACCTCACCTTAGTGATTTCCAGACAGCAATGGTAAGTTTCAACTTTCACTTGTGGCAACGGGTGAGACAACATATGGAGAAGCACCTTCTGACTTTCTCCTTGTAGTAATGGACTGGCCTGTGCAGATTTCCAGCTGATAAAAAAGTAAAAACCAAGACATCCAAGGCAAATAAGTTACTAAGCAAAAGACTGCAAAGTATACTGGAAAGGATTTCTTCCTACTCCAATTCCTCAAACTGAGATCTTATTAAAAATAACTGATATTAGCAAGTACTTACCTGAACACTTATCTATTTCAGGGTAGAGAAGCCTCTTTCTTAAAGAGTATTTTTAAAAACCCAAAATATCTTTAAAAACCTATACTCTGTTGATGTTTAACACATGACAGAATTTATTCTTTCCAAAAGCGATGAAGACACTAGTTCTAAATAGAAATTTGCTGATGTCCTCAAAATAAATTAACCAATACACAGTGTTTTCTAAAAATCCACATAAGGAAAAGGTACAAAGTAATAAAAGTTACAAAACTCTCAATTTAAATTATTAATTAAAACTTTAAAGATAAACAAACAATGTGTGTGAATAGTCTGGATGGATACCAAAAACAAATGTATAAAAATCCAAAAATTATTCATTTTGATTGCAGGCATGACATTTTTTAAATTTAATCTTGACTATAACAGTTAAGTATCCTAATGCAGCTGTACATATAGCCTGTAAGTCAGACATACAAAAGCAACTAAAAAATAATAATAGCAAAGATATAAGGTCAGTTTCACTTTCACTGTTTCTAAGTTTACACACACCCTAAGTGTCCAATAATAATATAATCACGTTAAGAAAGAAAATATTACATCTTTGAACAAATGTTGACGATTTCCTTTATCAGGGGGAAATGCTGATGATAGGAAAAGCTACGCAAGGATTGATCCGCCAGCTCCACTAATTCTAAGAGATCCTTCTCTCCCTAAAAAAAGAAGCAGAATGGAACAATAAATGTCAAGTTCATGTACAATAAAATTCTCAACAGCTAACTAAGCAGCTTCAAGAAATTAGAACATTCAGAGACCATAAGATTGTTTACATGTGTTTAAGTCCATTTTCTCACCAAGCAATCTAAAAATGTCAGCCTAGAGGAGAAATGCAAAATTCCCTAGCTAAATGCCACATGAGGCTTTCTATTATTTAACTCTGAGTAAGCTTAAAGTTAACAATCAAGTTGCCTGGTTCTGTGACTTTTTCTTTTTGGCTCTACCTCCCCTAATAAAAACAGGGCTAATGTATTTTATTATCAACCTGCCTCTTGTAACAGCCTGACTACTAGGAACATACAGGACATTCAATACATGTATGATCAAGTGACCATGCAAAATGTCACAGAGGCTGGACACAGTGGCTCATACCTGTAACCCCAGCATTTTGGTAGGCTGAGCCAGGAAGATCACTTGAGGTCAGAAATTCATGACCAGCCTGGCCAACATGGTGAAATCCCATCTCTATTAAAAATACAAAAAATTAGCTGGGTGTGGAGGCACATGCCTATAATCCTAGCTACCCAGGAGGCTGAGGTGGGAGGATCACTTGAACCTGGGAGGCGGAAGTTGCAGTGAGCAGAGATTACGTTACTACACTCCAGCTTGCGAGACACAGTGAGACTCTGTCTAAAAAATAAATAAAATAAAATAAAAAGTCCATAGAAATAATTCAACGTAAAGACACAATTCAAAATTCTATCACAGAGAAAACAAGAAGCCAGTGGTATTAACATGTGGCAAAAGGAAAAGAAAAAAATAAACTATAGTTGTAAATAAGAAAAATAATAAATATCAAGTTCCAGGCCAGGCACAGTGGCTAACACTGTAATCATAGCATTTTGGGAGCCCAAGGTGGGAGGACAGCTTGAGGCCAGGAGTTCAAGACCAGCCTGGGCAACATAGTGAGACCTCATCTCTTCAAAACAATTTAAAAATTAGCCAGGTGTGGTAGCATGTGCCTGTAGTATTAGTTGCTTGGGAGGCTGAGGCAGATGGATTGCTGGAGCCCAAGACATCAAGGCTAAAGCCTAGGCAGCAAAGGAGGCTGTCAAAATACAAAAAATTCGAAGACAATAAACAGGTTCAGATATATTCTACTGTAGGCGTCAAATGAATAAGAATTTTATCCCTAATTCCTCAAGATCTCCAGGATCCATTTTGTTAATTTCAAACAGTAAACAGTAAAGAAGTACTGTATCAGTGTCTGTCTCTAAGACCCATTAACCCTTTCATTGATAATATACTAATATTCTAATATTATTTTCAAAAGGGATAAATACTGAAAAATAATTATTGCTGTAACACTGCCCTAAAGTCATCCTAATACATTATAAACAATGTAGTTCATGACTATTTAATACTTTTTAAAAATCAGGCTTCATATATATGTAATATGTGCCTACAAAATATTAAGGCAAAAATATGTCTGCAAGTAAGCACTAAAATAGCCCTTATAATTCTGGTTACATCAACTGTCACTCAGTTCATATCAGTAAGTCACTTCATAGAGGCACTCATTATTAAATATTAAGACATTTGTAATAACCACCACTTTTTTGTAAATCACTGATATTAGTTTAATTTAATTACATTAATTAAACTCTTTGTTTTACTTCTATACAAATCATATCCTTACTTTAACCTGTTAAATAACAGTTTATTTATAACTGACCCAACTCAGTAATAATGTATCCCATCTGTAACAATTTAACTATATGTCCATCAATTTGAAAAGTATAGATTAAACTTTCTAAATATGTCAGAGGGATTTAAAAAATATATTAACAAAACTTTTTACCTCCTTCTCAATATCAGACAGGAAGTTACAGGTGCATTCAATTGAATAAACGGCCTCTGCAGTTTGTTTATAAATACTGTAGTTTTCAGAATTCAGCTGTTCCAAATAGGCCACAACAGCTTCATGAATATTTGGATATTCCAAAGAAATAGGCATGTCCAAAGAAAGGAGAAATAACGCTGCTGACATGGGCTCTGGTAAAAACTTGCTTGCCTTGATGAATTCAAAAAAATAAATAAAGCTTTGTTTTAAAAAAAAAAAACCTCCTTTTAGAGAAACATGGTGGGCTATAATCTAATCCAACTTCATTTTTTGCAATTCTTTGTCACAAAACTGAAGCTTTTTCCAAAGAAAATCCCGTTTCCCAACACATCATCTACCTCTACCTCTATGTCTTTGTTCGATACAAAATGTCTCAAGTCCACATATCAGCTCTTTCTCAAAGCCCAGGATACTACTTTCTTCTTCCCCAAACCAACTTATCTCTTTGAGTCCTACACCTTGTTTAAACCTCTGCTATTGAACTAAGGCATGAGGCCTTTTTCCCTAAGTATTTTCTGTACATGTACACAAATCTCCACAATAACCCAATAAACTGAAGACAAGAACCCTTCCCATCCCATAGAGGAGCATGACAGAGCTTATGAACAACATATTAATAACACTAAATCAAGTATAGCTATAGATTGATTTGAAATGAAACTGACTTTTTTCTTTGGTTTTGTCTTTTAGAGGGGATACGGGAAATTCAATATGGTATTTTAAATAGTTCTAAAATACTCATAGAAGATAGTCCCTTAATTAGTATAAAATCAATATGCCCAAATGAAATACAGACTTTAAATCAATAGATTTAAAACTGAAAGAACTATGGTTTTTTTTAAAAATCGTTCTAGTTTTGTTACAGGGTTCTAAATATCAATTAAAGAAATAAAAAGGACTAAAAATTCAACGTTCAGAGAAAATCTCTTGACAGGGCTCACTATTACAGTTGAAATGCTGCCTTTACAAAATGGGTTTGGTCATGATTTATTTCATGGATAACCTATTTCAAGGATAATCATTAACTACCTGAAAGTCTAAGAGTTGAATCAGCTGAACAACAATACTTTTAAATGAATATAGTTGCTAAATAAAGGTCAGAAACCACAGAAATCAAAATTTTAGATTACATAGACACGACAAACTTCCAGACTAGTAAAAGAGCAGCTATTAGAAAGTCAAGAGAAATTTCATTATTCTGTGAAGAACTACCTTTTTCTGTCATGTGAGTGGGGGAGAAACTTAATTAACTGCTCACCTATTAGTCACTCAATCAGCAAATATTAATTGGGTCTTACTGTGTTCCTCTACTATCTGCCAGGCATCTCTCCAGTCCTGGGAACCCAGCAGAGAGCAAAACAAAATCTCTGCCCACATGATGCTCACATCCCACTAAAGAAAACAGACTGTAAACCGATATACTTAATAAGATGTTAGGTGTGGCTAAAAACATTTTTTTTAAAACAGGATGGGGAAGATGGAGAGGAATAAAGTCGTGGGGAGTGGAGGCAGGGAAATGCTACTTCTCTACAGTAGAAGGGGAAGGCTGCGATAATTAGGTGGCATTTAAGTAAAACCCTGGAAGGGTCAGGAGCCATGTGGCTATCTAAGGAAAACGTTCATAGAACAGAGAAGAACAATTACAAAAACTATATTTGGTAGCAAGGAAGCCAGTATAGCTGGTTCTGAGTAATGGAGTCAGAGGGGAGTGGTGGGCCAGATGAGGTAAGGCTTTGGGTCATCATAAGGACCTGTCCTCTGCTAGAAGCCACTGGAACATTTTAAACCAGTATCAAAAATGGTCTGTAGAGAACTGATGGTAATGTGCAAAAGTGGAAGCTGAGAGACAGAGGAGGACTTTACTGCAATAATCCAGGCAGGACAGAATGGTGGGTTTAACTCAGGTATTTCAGATTCTGTACAGATATTCAAGGGATAAATGACAAATTTTGTTCAGGGATCATATCTACATATGCCATTTACCTAGACAGGCAAGACTATAGGAAGAACATATTTGGAAGGAAAAGCAAAGCATGAAGTCCAGGACGTGTTGAGTTGGAGATATTTATTGTTATCCAAGTGAAGACAAGTTTAGATTTCAGGTGATATGTGTGGTCTGGAAGCATAAATTTGGAAGGCATCAACAAATAGATGGCACTTAAAGATCACAAATGGGATGATATTTCATGAGGGTTACAGTCAGTCCTGGGGTTTCACTCCTATAGAGTTAGGAAACTAAAGAGCAATTAGCAAAGGCGATTTAGTGAGTTGGGCACTGTGCTAAGATAGTAAATCCTAGTGGAGCTACCTCTAAAGGCAGTGTGTTCTAGTTTAAGAGAGTTTTCTCTGACTCTAGTCAGAAAAACAGCTGCTATGAGAATTAAACGAACATTAAGCAGAGTGTATGGCATACAGCACCCGATAAATATTAATTTCCTTTTCTCACTTCACTACAAAGGAATTCTAACATTTCACCCTGCATACTCATATTTGCAACTTTTGCTATCTCAACAACTCAAAGCCCCATGCTAATGTCATCAGCTAATCCTTATGTGGCCCAATGGACTAATCACAATTTACACCCGAGATCTAAGATAGTTCTGCATATATAAGCATTAGTCACAGGTCATGGGAACTAAAAGTGAAGCTGTTTCAGTGCAAATTCATCATCCCTATCAGATAAAAAATAATCAGCAACATCATCTCATGTGCATTGGGAGGAAGAGCTATAAATGTTTCCTCTAAACCTAGCCACTCAGTAGCCATGGCGTAATTCCATGAGTTTGTTAGAAATGCCAGCTCTCAGGTCCTACCCTTCACCTGACGAATCAGAATATGTAAGATGTGATTAACAGTATCTCTAAGTGATCTGTGTGCACATTACCTTTTGAAAAGCACTGCTCTCAGTCACTCAACTGGTTTCACCAGGTGATTAGATTTTTTATACAAGCTAAAGACCTTGTGTTAGAAATTCTTCCTTACCCACAGTCAGCATCGCTAGCTAAGAAAGAGTAATAGCAGTTCCTAGGATGCTCTGTGCTTCTGCTTCCAGAACAGGGCCTTTTAGCTCTTACTTCCCATATGTTTTCCCAAGGAAATTACCTTCATCTGTTTTACCAATTTAGTTTATTCAACCACAATATTTTTCACAAGATTACCAACATAACATTTTAACCTATACGTGAGTATTCTCCAAAATCATTTAAAATCAACAAATATCAGTTTCAAAACAGGCCTCAGAGGACGTTTTGTCAAATTTAGGAAATCTCTGCATAGATTCATATTTATTTTCAACATCAAAATTACATATTTGGTCAGTGACAACTCAAAAAAAAACACTGTATAGGCAAAAAGTTTCACAGTCCAAATTCTACTTCAATTGTTAGTGGGCTAGCAACAGACAGAGGGCAGCATAATCTTACATTATATAAACCAAAGCAGAAATTTAACAGCAATGAAAGAGCATTTTTGTTTAGATCTCATTTTAAAGTACTTAATCAAAACAAATATAATCATCTAAAAACAAATACCTTAACTACAATCTCCCACAATGATCAAAATTATTCTAATAAAATTCCAAGTTATAAAGTACCAAAAATTAGATATTGATTTGTTTTTAAAAACAGAAACAATAAAACAACCACCATTTAAAAAAAAAAAAAAAAAGCATGGAGAATTAACTTTACATTATTCTAGCGTAAAATAAATTATTGATTTCTATTTTGATTCCTGTCCAAATATGCACGTAGATGAAAAAATACAACCAAAAATAAACACGGTGAAACTGATAAAAGTTTTCCATCAATCCTCTGACCCATAGATTATTTGCAATGCTTAATAACAAGCAATTGTAGCACCACTAATTTTTCAGTTATGTAATATTAGTTAAGATATCCATATTTTAAATTCAATTCCTGTCTTAAAAGACTGGAATTCTTCCATTCTTAATGCTCATGCCTTGAAAAATTGTCACTCTTCAAAACAGAAAAGGACTTTAGAAACATAATGACTAGTGAATACAAGTTAAAAATTAAAAGCAACACAAGTGATATTTTCCTTAAAGCAAAATATTATACTGAAAATGCAATGTTTTACTAATTTTCCCAGGTCACCTGATAATACATTTAGTATATAAGTGATACTTAGAAAATGGAGTTTGGACCAGATGCTCTATAGAATTCTAGGAAACAAAACTGTAAATGTTTAATAACTAAGGGCAACAAAGAGGCCTAGGGAATAGTTTTCCAGTTTTCATAATTTCTCCCATACCTGCATTTTAGTATGCCACTCCTTTCTTTTTGTAATCAAAGTACACCACAAAACACTGATGTCTGAATGATCTGAGGTACTTTTACCGCTAACATTCAGAGATAACCTCTTATTTAAAAACACAGTATGAAGATTTTAAAGAAATTTACACATATTAAAATCATCTTTAACAGACTTCATACAATGAAATATTTTGTAATAAAAGTTAACAAATTAATGCTATAAGCAACAATAGTTATGGACCTTGAAAAGGAGTGGAGAGAATACACACTTTATAATTTCATTTAAACAACATTCAAAACAGGCCAACTGATCTACAGTGACAGAAGTCAGAAAGAAGTGTGGCTTAGAGAAGGAGGGAGAGGTAACAGATGGGAAGGGGCCTTGGAATGCTGGTAACATTCTATTTTCTGTTATGGGGGTGGTCACTTTTTAAAGACAGATATGTTCACTTAGTAGAAAAAGCACTGAATTATGTACTTTACTGAATGTTTATGTAAGTAAAAAAAAAAAAAAAAAAAAAAAAAAAAACCTTTCAAAAATAAAAATTTTTTTTTTAAAATTTTTTTTTTTAAATCATTTAAAAATTTAAGTGTTCTGATTAAACTAACAATGAACAATTTCAGAAACTGATTAGCAACACACAGAAGAGATACCACCTTGACACTTTCGAAAAGTGCTTCTTTTTAATAATTTCCCCGCCATATACTCTCACAATTATCTTTTCTGTGTCCTACTCTTTTTATCCATTCTTTAGTAAAAACAGTAAAACCTGTGAAACTATTACATTTTTAAATTATGCTTATAATAAAAACATGTTTAAGCATTCAACCTTTGATCTAGTAATGCCCTTATTAGGAATATAAGAATCCAAAATATGAGTAAACATGTGTATGTGGCAATTCAGCATAATGTTATCAAAATATCAAAGAAAGAAAAAAAAAAGAAACCTAAAAGCTTAATTTCTGGAATCCTTGTGCAAATCATAGAACATCTTTCTGGTAAAATATTAGTAGCCATTAAAATTTATGAAGTGTTTAATTAAATAAAAAATATATGTTAGATAATAACAAATGGTAAAAAAAATAAAATAAAATAAAAGAATCAATAGGCCAGGTGCAGTGCTCACACCAGTAATCCCAACACTGGGAGGCTAAGGTGGGAAGATCACCTGAGGTCAGGAGTTCAAGATCAGCTTGGCCAACATGGTGAAATCCCATCTCTACTAAAAGAACACAAAAATTAGCTGGGTGTGGTGGCTCACACCTGCAATCCCAGCTACTTGGGAGGCTGAGGAAGGAAAATCACTTGAATCTGGGAGGTGGAGGTTGCAGTGAGCCACGAAAGTGCCATTGCACTCCAGCCTGGACGACAAAGCAAGACTCTGTCTCAAAAACAAAAACAAAACCAAAAATAAATAAATAAATAAATAAATAACTTTTATGGATGTTCTCAATTTGACTTAAAGCAAAAAAGAAAAAGCCTCAAAATTAACTTGAAATTATGAATGAATTTTTATTCTTTGTACATTAAAATGTTTTTTAAATGAACATCTTATTTTCTGAATAAAAGTTAAAAATAAAGCTTAAGAAAGGGCCAGGTAAAATAGAATAGTAGGAAAAAGAAAAGTACTAGAATAAAGCCTACCGCAGAAGATAGTTTATTGTTATCGCAGACAGAGAAGCAGTTTTGTGAAAGACAGCTAAAGCAACATGTTAATTAAAAAAAATAACTTTCGAAAGACATATTAAGGTATGAAATCATATATTACATAACTCAAAATACAAATATGGTTAAGTTTAGACATAAAACAAATTACCAAATATTAACTAGTTGAATCAAAAAAAACCAGGATATTTAATCCTACCAGATGTGTCTTCTGAAAATCTTTTGATAAGTTGCTAAAATAAAAATATTAAGCAATTAAGTTGCTGTCAGAAAGGAAATAGTAGGATACCTTCAAGAGAAATGCATGTGACCAAAAAAAAAAAAAAAATCCCATAAGTTACTAAAATACAAAACACACCAGTAATGTACAGAAAGTACAACAAATACAAAAACATAGGACAGTCTTCAGAAACCAACTAGATTAACACTTAGAAACTAAAGCACTGCTAACACTATTTTGAATAAATAAAACAAGAAAAAAAAAAGTTTCCATGACATTAACATATGCTAACTAGAAAATAATTTCTGAAGCAGTAACAGAAACTATTGTTAATATTCCATGTGTCAAGGAAATAGTGAATAAGTAAAGACCTAACACCATAAAAACTCCAGAAGAAAACCTAGGCAATACCATTCAGGACATAGGCATGGGCAAGGACTTCATGACTAAACCACCAAAAGCAATGGCAACAAACGCTAAAATTGACAAATGGGATCTAATTAAACTAAAGAGCTTCTGCACAGCAAAAGAAACCATCATTAAACTGGCAACCAATAGCATGGGAAAATTTTTTGCAATCTACCCATCTGACAAAGGGCTAATATCCAGAATCTACAAGGAACTTAAACAAATTTACAAGAAAAAAAACAAATACCACCATCAAAAAGTGGGCGAAGGATATAAACAGATTTCTCAAAAGAAGACATTTATGCAGCCAACAAACATGAAAAAAAGTTCATCGTCACTGGTCATTAGAGAAATGCAAATCAAAACCACAATGAGATACCATCTCACGCCAGTTAGAATGGTGATCATTTAAAAAACAGATGCTAGAGAGGATACGGAGATATAGGAATGCTTTTACACTGTTGGTGGGAGTGTAAATTATTTCAACCACGGTGGAAGACAGTGGGGCAATTCCTCAAGGATCTAGAACTAGAAATACCATTTTACCCAGCAATCCCATTACTGGGTAAATACCCAAAAGATTATAAATCATTCTATTATGAAGACACACACACACATACGTTTACTGTGGCACTATTGACAATAGCAAGGACTTGGAACCAACCCAAATGCCCATCAATAATAGACTGGATTAAAAAAAAAAGTGGCATATATACACCATGAAATACTATGCAGCCATAAAAAAGAATGAGTTCATGTCCTTTGCAGGGACATGAATAAAGCTGGAAACAATCATTCTCGGCAAACTGACACAAGAACAGAAAACCAAACACAGCATGTTCTCACTCTAAGTGGTTGTTGAACAATGAGAACACATGGACACAGGGAGGGGAACATCATATACCGGGGCCTGAAGGGGGGTGGGTTGCTAGGGGAGGGATAGCATTAGGAGAAATACCTAATGTAGATGACGGGGTGATGGATGCAGCAAACCACCAGGGTATGTGTATACCTATGTAAGAAACCTGCGTGTTCTACACATGTACCCCAGAACTTAAAGTATAATAATAATAAAAAAAAAAACTCTGACATGTACCTAGCTGAAGAGAAGGAAAGGCCACTCTTGATATTAATGATAAGAACCAAGACACACACTGCAGAGATAAGATCAGTAGGCTTCCAATGACCTCCAATCATTAAAAAATACATCAAGTGTACCAATTATATATGTATATATGTATGGAAAAATGTATTAGTGTATAAGACATAATCTCTTCCTTCAAGTGATTCCAAAGTTACCAAAGAAATTAAATAAGTCAAACATATGCATGTATACATATACATATACATATAGATAATAGCAAGTCTTGTCTTTTACAAAACTAAGTTCTATGGGGCCAGGGACTAATTCTAACCTACTCTGTTTTACATCCAGCATGTAATACTGCTGGCCCATTGTAGGCAATCAATAAATTATTCACTGAATGAACAAGTGAAGGAAAAAACAAACAAATGTACAGACTGCAATAAAACATACGCAATAAAAACAACTGCAAATTAAAAAATAATTTCCTATCAAATTTGTCAAAATTATTCAAAATGTTAACCATTTCTCAATTTCTACATTTCCCATATAATCTTTGTTACACTATTTTGAAAATGTCCTAAAGCACAATACCTTCACACCATGAAAAGTTCAGAAGAAATTTACAACACAGCATTTATTTTTAATGGTCAGTAAACTACAAATGAGCAGCATTACCTACCTTACCTTTTCAACAGGGAGAAGCATTTGTAATAGTCGAACTGCAAACAGTGAAATGCTGATAAAGGCCATTCTGTGGTGCACAAGCATCACCTCTGATTGTTCCAAACTGACACTACTCTTATGGTAGCACATAGTTTCTCCAAGGGCTCCCAACACCAGGAGCAGTTTCTCTTTCTAAAAACATTTACACAACATAAAAGAGAAGAAAACAAGTAATTTTAGGGGCCAGTGTACAAAAGCCACTGAGAATAGTTTAAAATATTATCATTATCATTAAATAGGAAAACAAATCAAAATGTATTCCTCTCTCTGAGAATTACCAATACCTGCTGACGTAATTTAAAAAGCACAAAAGAATGACAAACCACCTACATTTTGAAAATACAACTAATAATCTTTATGTATTGAATATGACTCTTTAACAATGAATAAAATACAAAAGGTAATGAACCATAAATTCCTGCTAGTTTCTAGTGCTTAATTGTTCCAATTTGGAACATTTACAGGTAAACCCCTCATCAAGTATTTCTTATGCTTACTACACGCCTAACACAGTGGCAGGCGTAACAGAAAAAAATGCATTAGTACAACAGACATGATCCCTTTCCTCAGATTGATACCAACAGTTCTAAGGAAACGAATCAAGGAAAGTCAAACAATTAAAAAGCAATTAAATATCAAATTGTATAAACTCTGTCTCTCTTCAGATAATAAGGTTTCAAGTGGAAAACGTTATGGCACCATAACTTTTAAATAATTTACTACTCCAATAGAAATAATATCTTTTAAACTGAAAGGTATACATTAAATATGAAGAAGAAGCTATGCATAGTAGACTGACTTGTAAGTCACATCAGTATAGTCCAAAGTATATGCCAGATATGCCTCCATAAACTAGTGGGTAAAAGGACACCCTCAGTAAGAAAGATGAAAAGGGCCGGGCGCGGTGGCTCAAGCCTGTAATCCCAGCACTTTGGGAGGCCGAGGCGGGTGGATCACGAGGTCAAGAGATCGAGACCATCCTGGTCAACACGGTGAAACCCCGTCTCTACTAAAAATACAAAAAGTCAGCTGGGCATGGTGGCGCGGGCCTGTAATCCCAGCTACTCAGGAGGCTGAGGCAGGAGAATTGCCTGAACCCAGGAGGCGGAGGTTGCGGTGAGCCGAGATCGCGCCATTGCACTCCAGCCTGGGTAACAAGAGCGAAACTCCGTCCCAAAAAAAAAAGAAAGACGAAAAGAAAGAGGGGAGGGGAGAAAGAGAGAGAGAGAGAGAGGGAGGGAGAGAGAGAGAGAGAGAGAAAGAAAGAGAGAGAGAGAGAGAGAAGGAAGGAAGGAAGGGAGGGAGGGAGGGAGGGAGGGAGGGAGGGAAAGAAAGAGAAAGAGAAACAGAGAAAGAGAAAGAAAGAAAGAAAGAAAAATGCTGAAGTTCTTACCTTCAATTTTCGATTGAAAACATATGAAAATAAAAATGAGAAATACCTGCACACTAGGAACAAAAATCTAATATATCATAATTTTTTTAATTCAAGGATGACTATACAGGAAACAACTAAAAGGAATGAGGCCCAAAAGTCACATGTCATTGGCAAGAATATGGAAAATCTGTAACTTTTGTGTATTGCTGGTGGGAATGTAAAATGGTGCAGCTACTGTGGAAAACATAATGGCAGTTCCTCAAAAAAAATTAAACACAGAATTATCATATAATCCAGCAAATTCCACTTCTGGGTATACACCCAAAAGAACTGAAAGCAGGGTCTCAAAGAGAGATGTATACACACCCAGGTTCATAGCAGCACTATTCACAACAGCCAAAAGGTGGAAACAATGCAAGTGGCCACTGAAATGGAGACACAAAATGTGGTATGTTGTGTATACGTACAAGAAAAGGGGGCCGGGAATGGTGGCTCACGCCTGTAATCCCGGCACTTTGGGAGGCTGAGGCAGGCAGATCACGAGGTCAAGAGTTCAAGACCAGCCTGACCAACATGGTGAAACCCTGTCTCTAAAAATATAAAAATTAGCCAACCATAGTAGCGCACACCTGTAATCCCAGCTACTTAAGAAGCTGAGGCAGGAGAATGGCTTGAACCCAGGAGGCAGAGGCTGTAGTGAGCTGAGATCACACCACTGCACTCCAGCCTGGGCGATAGAGTGAGACTCCATCTCAGAAGAAAAAAAAAAGGGTATTGAGCCTTCAAAAGGAATTAAATTCTGATACATGCTGCAACATGGATGAACCTTTAAGACATAAAATAGGCCAAATACAAAAGTAAAATAAGCCAGATATAAAAAGACAAATATATTACAGATTCCACTTATTATATGAGGTACCAGGGGCTGGGGGCAGGCAGAAGGGAGGTTTACCATTTAAAGTTGTGTAGATAATGATAATGGTTGTACAGTAATGTCACTGCAGAAGTAAGGAAGACAAAATAATCTACATAGCAAAAAAAAGCAAAATCTTTTGAGAGAAGACCAAGCATAATTATACTATAAAAAGTTTAAATTTTCCTATAAATGAAACATAATTTCATATGGAAGTAAAAAAAACAAAAATTAAAAATTTATACATACAAAAATCCTTAACTGTCATGGGATTAAGAGTTTAAAAAGAAAATAAAATTTTTAAAAAAGGAAAATCTTCATGCATAAAAGGTTAAAAATTCAATGTGTAATAGAATAAAAACAAAAAAAAAATCTAAGTAATACAAATAGTGAATAACTTAGGGCAAAATAAATTAATTTTCTACTGATGAAATATTTAACAATAAAGACTCAATAAAAATCAGTCTGTGATCTGAATAACACAGAACATCAACAAACTTGTTATTGATATGGAGTTACAGATTTTATCTCAGTCTTTTCAGACTTAATTAAAATTAATAGACATAAACTTTGAACATTGCAAAGAATATAACTTCTCTTCAAGTCTCCAAGAAACACTAACAAAAATTAACCTTAAAAATACTTCACCACACAGAAAGCTTCAATGTTTATTTAAGGCTATATTTTCTCTGATTCCCCAAGAAATAAAACTAAAAAGTAATAAATATTTAAACCAAAAGTAGAAAAACCCTTACAAAATTAAAACAGAAAAACTACAACATCCTCATACAAATAACTACTGGTCTAGAGAAAACAATCTGGAAATACAGTGACAGTCTTATATTGACAGGTAATTAATTCCTCTATATAGTATGTCTCCATTAAAACTGTACTGCATCTAAGAATAATGTCTCTATTATTCAAGATTAACTTTGATAATTTACAACTTAAATCAATAAGTATGTTTACAATCTCAGCATTGTACAGCTTTTTCTAGAAGTCTATTTACCTGTGAAATTGTTTAAAATAACCTAGCTAATTCTAATGATGAATTGAGTGGTTCTCAAAGCAAATGCTATAAGAATGAGTTTTGCAGTTCTATTTCCAACATTTCTTCTAAGCAAAAAAAAAAAAAAAAGTGGTTTCTTGGTTTTCTTTTGTCTTTAAGGAAAGGACTGAAAAACAATAGTAACTGGCCCACATTTCTAATTCGTTGGGCTAAAGATGTTTAAACAACAACGCTAAAGGAGTTGACGAGTTGGGGGGGAACCAGTTTTCACAGGATAGTCATAATTTTTACAACAGAAGGCATAAAACTGAAATACCAGATTAGCAGAATATCTTAATTACCAATAAAACAGATTTTATAGCATAAACACAACTTATCTACTATCTCCACAATATACAATGGGTTGCCGGATTCCACAAGGCACCTGGAATAAGTAACTGCAGCAGGCTCTGCCCCTCACATGCTTCCAATGGACCTTCCACACTGCAGCCAGTCACAGTTCCTCAGCCAATCTCATCAGGCACTTCCCTGATTAAAAGCAATCTTTTCCTGACTTCAGAGGAAGTCAGAGCTACTCAGCACCATGTCAAAAGCCCCCTACGAGAAGATCCTCATTTATCCCACCGGTTTCTCTCCACTATTTGCAACTCACATTTCATGCTCTAGGTGCTTCTGTTCTAGCTACCACCAGCCCTATCCTTTATCTCTGATTAAAACTATCCATGCCTCTTTGTCATGGCTCACAGTTCATTCTTAAGTCTCCGCCAGATTAAAAACTATATATATTATTTTATTTGCTTGGCCAAATCCTACTTGTAATTTAAAACTCAGTTCATTCAGATCTACAAAAAGCCCTCACTGAGGCCAGGCATGGTGGCTCATGCCTATAATCGCAGCACTTTGGGAGGCCAAGGCAGAAGGATCACCCAAGGAGTTCAAGACCAGCCTGGCCAACATGGCAAAACTCAGTCTCTGTTAAAAATACAAAAATTAGCCAGGAGTGGTGGCACATGCCTATAATCCCAGCTATTTGGGAGGCTGAGGTATGAGAATTGCTTGAACTCGGGAGGCAGAGGTTGCAGTGAGTCAAGCTCATGCCACTGCACTCCAGCCTGGACAACAAAGTGAGATTCTGTCTCTCAAAAAAAAAAAAAAAAAAACCCTCACTGACATCCAAGTTCATAGTTCATAGTGATGGCTAGAAAAAATACAAAACCTCAGGTGACCTTGAAAAATAAATTGTGCCTCAGTTCTCTAATTTACAGGGTCATGATAATTAAAAGACTTTATAAATAGTACTTAGTGTCTGATATACAGCACTATATTTAAACCATCTCAGTTTAACTGTTATCCCTCTATGCTTATCTGTTTTACTAATGTCACATTAAAAGTACCTATCACTCACGGGCATGAAAGCACTACATCTTACTTATTTGACACCCCAAGTGCCTAGCATATACTAATAATAGGCAATCAAGAAATGTGAATTAAAATAACTGTCTTTGGAATGGTGGCAGCCGCAGGGAAGGTCTATGTAATTAGAGATCCCACTACTCCAGTTATCAATTCACACTCTGGTCCAAATATCCTTAATGAGCCCTTACTGGATACAAAGCCTTATAGTTTCTTTCACAATCCTCTTAGCCCTTCTTGAAGTCCTACCAACGCTCTACAGTTCTACCAACAAGTGTTGATGTCGAAGTTACCAGTTCATAGCAGGTCAGATGGGAATTTAGAAGCAATGAGTCATAAAGATGAAAAGACCACTTTTCAATAACTGCATGACAAGAATGACATAGAAGAAACGCTGAAAAGGAACAGAAGACAGACCTAAG